TCTGACTTAAGCATTTCTCTCATCCAAGCTATTCCTTTCCACCACCACCAGTTCCTAGCAATGGGAACTGCTGGAGAAGAAGCCACAATTCCTGTCCTCACAGGTTTACAAAGGAGCTTGTCCACGCCCGGCAGAATTCTCAGTTCCAGCCCAGGCGCGGTCCCCTTTCTGACAGGCAACCGCGAATCAGTTTACACAAACACACACCGCCCACGACAGGTAGGAAGGGATGGGGCCGCGGGCAGCACCAATGTGGGTGCCTGGAAACACACACCGGAGAATGAATGCAGTTACTAGCCGTCGGAGAACAGCCGCACCAGGGGCAGCAACGGAGCCAGCGACGCCGATCTCCCTACGCAGCCCAAGCTCTCCCCCCACCCATCCCCGCGCACCAGACCCCCTTCAGGAAGCGCAGGCGCGCTTGGAAAGAAGGCGAGAAGGGCTTGGGATGAGAGAACAAAACCCTTTCCCAGCACGGTTTCCGCGACCCTTTCCAGGCCTCCAGATCCCCATTCGGTAGCCTCCTCCCTCAGCTGAAGCCAGGCCTGGGCTTTCGGAGCCATCCTTGCCGAGGTCCAAGGATAATACACCATCTCGGTCCCCACCATTGGCGACCAAAAACGGGTTCCACCTTTGCGGAGAGCTGAGAACAGCCCTTTCTCAAACAGCACACCCACCTCTTTTGAGTCTTCTCCGCCATGGTTTGGCCTGGGTCTCCAATTGGAGCGGAGATCGACACTAGCGGCTGGGTAAAGCGATGATCTCTACCAGCGATTGCATAGGCTGGCAGGATTGGGAGGGGGCGGGGCAAGGGGGGCCTGCCCTCCCGGGCTGACGGGCTGGGCTCCGGGCTCCGCCTCCGCCTGGGTGAGCCCAATTGTGCTGGGCAGAGGTGTGTGTCCGTCTGCTGCTTTTAACGCAGCCCGGGAGCGGTAGACACAAACGTAAAACAGTCGTTTAGTCCCCTCCGACGCACATCATTATGACCTCATGGCATTCCACTGTTCGTTTCCAGTCTTCTTTCCGGTCTCTGTTCCTTAAGGATCTTCCTGCTAGGCCCTAGGCCCTTTTCCTGTTCAGTGAGTTGATCTCTTCCTGGATGAGTTTATCAGTCCCATAAATTAAGTACCTGCAACGTACTGGCTTTCTTGGACTAATATCTCAAGTTCTGTCTCCTTTGCTGAGCATCTGCTTATTCAATTGCCTACTGCCTCAAAGTCTCATCAAACGTAAAAAGTCAAGAACAGAGCTTTCGATTTACCCCTGGCCCTCTCTGCAACCAGCTGGTCCTTGGATCTCCACCCCAGGAAAGGAATTCACCGTTCATCCAACCGCTCAAGCCTGAAACTCGAGCCATTCTAGGCACTCCTCACCTCTCCATATGTAATTCAGCAGCAAGTTCTGCTGGTCCTTCATCTGGTGTCTCTCATTCTTCCACCTTGCATCATTTACTCTACCTTCTCTCTAATCACCATCCCTGCCCCCACTCCACCCAAGCTTGTAGTTAAAATCATGCTTTAAAAACCAAATCCAGTTTGGTTTTTACTTCTTATTCCTTTTAAAACCCAAACTTCTTTCCATATCCTATCTCTGGGGTCCGGCAACCCTTGCCTACTTCTCTCTTCTTTAATTTCATGTTCCTCTTCGAATTTCTCTAATCACACTTTCATTCTCCAGGAAGCCAAATGAACTCTCCGCCCCAGACAGCTTCCACCTACCCTTTGCACCCGCCTGTTTGACCCTTTAAGTCTCAGATGTCACGTACTCAGTGTATCAGCTTTTTCATTACAGCTGGTGTCAGTGAAAGTGGGATTTGCTGGAATGGGCCTGGCTCATGGAAACATGTGGTTTGGGAAGAGAAAGTATAAAAGGATAGGGGATGAGGAACCTTTGATCTCATGGCTGCTGTCAACCGATGGTAGTTGGCGCCAATTCAACGGTAATACAGCATGGCTGTAAAAACAGCACAGCTGTGCCCAGCCCCTCTTCAGCTAGGGCCCTGCAATGATCTGCTTGGTGATGGGCTGCTCTGCTCTGCCTTTCCAGTCCGCACCTCGCTAATGCAACCCGGGAGCCTTCCCTGGAAAGTGGGCTCTTGAAGCCAGATGGGAGCTGGTTTATATAGATAGTCCGGTCCCTGGTCGCTGATTGGCCAGAATAACGCCTCTCTGATTGGTGGTCAGAGCTGTGCAGCTCTGGTAGGATCGAGAAAGCCTCAGTCCAATTGGTTGAACTAAGACTCCCTGAACTGCTTTGTAGGGGGTGGCTAAGGCAGGCAGTTTAGTACAAAGTCAGGCAGATTAGAACCTTTTCCACAAAGAGCAGCTTGCATGAAAGGTTCCTGTGCAGAAACGACTGCGAGGCTATGGTTTTGCCCCCCCCCCCCTTTCCCAATAAGCAACCAAGAGCCCTTCTTAGTCCTCAGGGTTCATATTACCTAGTCATCCATGGTAGGAACCTGCATCTGTGCTGTGATCAGTTACTAAAGGTGTAAGTTACCAATGGAATTTAGAGATGGGGATAAACACGATTCCAGAGGAGTTGGCTAATTGAATACATGAGGATGTGCAAATAAGAAGAAGCATGCTATACATACAGTCCGTTGGTTATCGCTATTTGTAATAGCTAAAATGGCCAGATCTTGATATCAGACCAAGTTCAGGTTTGGGTCAATCTGAGCACCAGCTACTAGCCTCAAAGCTGCTCACAAAGGGAAAAAACTATGCCAGACCCAGAGACAGTACCTCTAAGGCCCCCGGTGACCAGCAAGGTAGTCAATGTGAGGGGCAGGGCTGAAAGTTCCATGCTTCTGCTCATGGCTCGGACCTTCTGGTGCTCAGCCCCCATCCGGGAGTCCTCCAGGAGCCCACTCAGAGTTGCCTCTTTAGAACAGAAGATGTTCCTGGTGTTCTTACATTTAGGAATTTATTTAGGAGCTCTGTGTCAGGAACTGGGGGCAGAAATACATATTTTTTCCTAGTATCTCATAGGATGAATTTAGAACATTCCGCTGTCCCCAGCTGTATAAACACATATTCATTTTCAAGAGACGTCTGTTTAATTAATAACATGAAAAACTTCCATGGTATATGTATTAGTGTTCTCCAGAGAAATGGTGATACAGAGAGAGACAGAGCGATGGATGAACAGATAGATATGGATATAGACATACATATTGGGGCTGGCAAGTCTGAAATTTATAGAATTAGACCCACCAGCTAGAAATTCAGAGAAGAGTTGATGTTGCCGTCTTAAGTCCAAAATCTGCAGGCAGGAAACTCAGATGGGGTTTCTATGTTACAATCTTGAGGCAGAATTGCTTCTTCTTTGGGAAACGTGTCTTTGCTCTGATGGCCTTCAACTGATCTGATGAGGCCCACCCACTGTTTTACTCAGTCTTCTGGTTTAAATGTTAGTCTTATTTTGACATTGTTTGCCCAAACAACTGGGCAGCGTAGCCTAACTGAGCTGACACAAAATTAACCATCACAGCATGTTTATATAAAGGACCATTTTATCAACATTGGGTACAGTGTCTAGGGCCTATAAACTTTTCAGAGACCTACAAAATGATTGAGACCCGAAAATAAAATGTACCAGTTTCAAAATACAAAAAGAAAAGTACAAGTAGGAATTAACGAACATTTATTTTAGTTAAAAAAAGTGTAACTTTTTTTCCTAACAAATCAACTGCAACTCAATTCTTCTGTACCAAGCAATTATATTTAATGGGGAAGGTGGTTGCATTTTAATATGTTTGATATGATGTGAGCTTACTGATTGCTTAGGGAGTCCTCTACTCCCCCTTAATTTTCTACTGTTTGTCTAGGTCTTTACGCCATCTGTGACCTGGAATAAACTATCCATCTGTTTGGAAACATCCTTCCAGAGCCAACTGAAAAGCATTTCCGCTTCTCTTGCTTTTGAAAAATCCCCTGTCTCTACTGACAATTGCTTCTTTATTTATCCGAGACAGTGGACTCATGACATCTCTAGTTCTTTAACGAAAGTATTTGTTGCCATTTCTGTCTCCTTGGAACACTGAGAGCTACTTGAGGGCAGGGGCCATGCCTTATTCATCCCCCTGTTTCTACTGTTCAGCACTGGTCTCCCACAAAGACATGGTCCTTGCCCTTAAGATGCTTTTGTATCAGGTTGTACTCCCCCCATCCTTTGTTTAAGGCTGAGTGCTCTTGCACGGGTCCTTGGAGATGAAAAATGGCCAGTTGTGGACAGTGCTGTAAGGTGCTGGGCTCAGAAATGGACTCCACTAGCCAAGAGATGGCCCGTTGTTCTTGTCTAGCCTCTAGGCATGTCTCCTGTATTTCTGGCTCGCCCCAAAGAGAAGCTTCTTTTTAAGTGTTTCCTCTCCACACTTTTGCTTCCTTAAAACCTTTTCACTTCAACAAGTACTTACTGGGCACATGGTATGTGCCTGGCACTGTTCTATGTGCTGAGGATACAACAATAAAACAATAAATAAAAAGCCTTTCCTCGCAGAGCTCACATTTGAAGTGGGGGACAGGCAATGAGCTAAGCGAGAAATAGGTTTATAAGGAGGGGTGACAGATTCTATGGGGAAAAAAGTAGCATGAGGACGACAGTGGGGGTCGGGAGGAGGCATCTTCCTCCTCTTTGAAAACCCACCTCCCTTCCTCCTCTTCATGTTCTCGTCTCCCCTCCCCGCAGTCCACAACTGGGAAGTAAGATTTTTCTTTGACTTAGAGAAGAAAATATGACAGTCAGATGGCTGGAAAGACAAATACTGTGGTATGTAAACTAAACAAAACCAGAACTTCTGAAAGCAATGTTTTCAGTACAGGTCATTAAGCGATATACCCTCACATGCGTTTTGGTTTCTATAGTGCATTCGCTTTATCAGAAAGCTAACTTTGGTGCTGCTGTCGCCAGTGCTTTTGTTTGCCTTCTGCTCGCCTAGGCCTTGCTGACCCTTATAAAGGATCACAGGGCTCCTGGCTGAGGATTCTGCTGCAGGAAGGCTCCAGTTAAGGACTCTGGAAAGGACAGTGTCTTTTGTTCCAGTTCACAATGGCTTGGCCTCAGCTGTTTTTCCTCCATCCTGTCTCACTTTATCAAGGGGCTGCCTTTCCTTTCGCATTTCTGTTTAATTATCTCTGCAACGTGGATTCGTTGTCCATTCCTGCCAGGTAGGTTTGTTAGCTAATTTTGTTCTTACATCTCTGAATGCTAGCAGGTCAGAAAGCACAGACTGGAGTGCAGATGTGAAGATTAAACACACTGGTGGTTTTTAAGTTATCGCTGCCACCGATTATGATTACTGGATCATAGAAATTGGCATCGTGTCTGTATTGACTCTGCCAAAGTTTGATAAGTTCACGTTAGATGGGAAAGTATGAAAAGAAATTGGGAGAGGTGGATGTTGAGGTGGTACAAGAATGTCCCAGATGGATGCATCTGTACACCAGTGCTATGCCAAATATGTTCTTGAACAATCCTAATTTCATGGAACACTGTCATTTTCAATAAAATTAAATGTTATTAAATATATAGAACTGTGATTTTAAAAATGCTTACGATTTTTTTTTACAGAAATGAAATAAGTCAAAGCAAATTTTGTTAGATTAGCTATATCTCAGTCTGGGGTTCAAGAATTATTGTCACTAGAGAATTTATAACTTGATTGAAATGATTTTCTTATAGCTAACAAACTCAATACAGTAGAGACCGTTTCTTTCTTTTTCTTTTTCAAGATCTTATTTTTTAGAGAGAGCAGAAGGGAGGGAGAAAGAGAGGGAGAGAAACATTGATGTGTGAGAGAAACTGGGGACCTGGCCCACAACCCAGGCATGTGCCCTGACTGGGACTCGAACCGGCAACCTTTTGGCCTGCACTCAGCCCACTATAAGCCACAGCAGCCAAAGTATACAGTTTCTACTTTTAAAAAAGTTTAGTGGAGTACACTTTTGTAAAGTGAAAATCCATTGCCAAGGGCTACCTCTTAACCACTTAATTTGGAAATTAGGATTTCACATATGAGGTGTTTCTAAGTAAGATCTAGCTGTATGATAACTGGTTGATGGCCCCTATCTTCATTTAGGAGATGGGGAGGCGGTTGTAAAAAAAGTTTTCTGTTGAGAAAGAATCACAAACAATAAAGCAAAACAAGTGCAAGATAAGGGTAAATTCCCATAGGATTCAGGTTGCTGGCTGTGGAGTCAGCCTGGTGGGTCCTGGTCCCTCACTTTGTGAGTGTACTTGTTTGTGTGAATAAACCCTCTCAAGTTCATCTGTAAGTGGAAATAATAACACCTATCTTATGGGGTTATCATAAGGATTAAATAAAAAAATTTCCTATAAAGTGATTATTAGCACATTGCCTAGAATGAAATAAACACTAAAAAAGTCATGCATCCTGCATTGGACATATACAGACAGTGAACAAGTATTATAGACAGTGAAAATGAACATGTACATGCTCACTGTTTACAGATCCCCAGGGCAGTGGCCTCTGGGTAGAGCACTGTCAGGCTTCCATGCCTGTGCATAAGGAGTAGGTGTTCCCCTTGTTTCCCAGGGGCAGGCATATGAGGGCTTGGACGAGTGTTAACAGGGGTGGCTGAGCCCAGCGTAGGCGCAGGGAAGCACAGGAATGGCCCAGGGCCTGTGCAGTAGAGTTCACACGGAAGCAGCTGCCAGTCTCCCTCAAGAGAGAAACCCTCACCCGGGCATGCCCATCGCCAGGCCACACTGCCATGGTGTACGCCACGTGACGTGGAGAAAACACAGTCCTCTTTGACTCTGTTTTCCTGTCCCCAGCTAGTCAGTCCGTGTTTTGCACCTTTTCTGAACTCTTCATTCAGATGTATTAATTTGGCACGAATTACAAACAAACGAGCCTCCTTATACTGCGAAATCTCCCAGGCCTCTGCGGATCCTCCGGGCATCTCCCGGCTTCAGAGGGAGGCCTGCTCCACAAACCCCTTCATTGATGTGGGTATTTATAACGTCAAAAGCCACTAACTCGTGATGCCTTCAAGTTGCTGTAGAGAGGATTAAGGACAGATATGAAGATTTTCTAACTGAGTTTTCAAACACTTATCAAAGGAGGGCATTGAGTCTTTTTTGTCCTCTCGGACACGGTCCAAGGCGATGCAACCCCGTGAAAAGGGCAGAGGTTCATCTTTTATTTTTTGGACTTTAAATACTTTTTATTTCTCAATTACAGTTGACATACAATATTATATTAGTTTCAGGTGCACAACCCAGTGATTAGACATTGATATAACTCACTAAGTTAGAGCCCCAGTAAATCTAGCACCCCCCTGACTGACACCATCCAGAGTTATCACAAAATCATTGACCACATTCCCTGCGCTGTGCTTTACCGCCCTGCGACTGCTCTGTAACTACCAGTTGGGACTTCTCCATGAGATGACGTCGAGAGAGATTTCCTAGATCCTCAATGCCACACCGCTAGATTTGGAGAGGTTCCTAGTGGAGAACCTTCCGGACCTGGGACCTGTCATCCACGGGATTGCTAGGGGCAGGGGTCGTTCCCACTTGGATGGTGAACGTCAAAAAGAGGTTCCCAGTGACACTAAGGCAGGAATCATGATTCATCTCTTGACGTAATCGTTCACAAATTGACGCTGGCTCTTTCTGCCCTGGTTCTTGCCTGCAGAAAAACAAGAGGAAGATTGGGGAGGGGTAAGAGTAAGACTTCCTTAGGTGTTCCGTGAGGCCTGCTTCAATCGGGCCACCCAGAGTGACATCTGCAGCCACGCCGGTGTCGCACGGCTCTAAGTCAGCCTCGCGGGTTGTGCTTTTCCTTTCAGGCACTTCTTTCTCCTGGCTGGCGGAGGCGTCCTGGCCTGGGCTGCCATGGGTTCCTTTGCCGTGCTCGTCTTCATCCCCGCTCTGTGCGCCGGGGTCCTGATCTGCTCCCTCGGCCCGCGGGACGTCCACAGGTGTGCTTTCTCCTTTCAGATGAGCTGGCAGACGCTGTGTCACCTGGGTCTGCACTACACTGAGTATTACCTGCAGGAACCTCCTTCTGCGAGGTAAAGCAGTCCGTCCGTTGGGTTGTACTGAGCTGACCAAGGGTTTGTTTGAGCCCTGGTGAGAACTGGGAATTGAGTGTGAATCTGAATTCTTCCACATTCGAGCAGTGTGACCTAGAGCAAGTCGTTTAACCTCTCCTGGCCTCGGTTTCTTTTTCTGGAAAAAAAAAAAAAAAGGTCTGTGTGCTTGTGGGGGTGGGGGTATAACAATACTTATCTTGCAAGACTCTGATGTTAGAGATAGTGAATTAAATGTAATTATATGACTGCTAACTACCACGTGCTACCTACAAAGCACAGTCTGGCACTTAGCTGTAATTATCACTGTGCCAGAGAGGGGGTTGACCCAGGAGTCGCAGGGCCCTCAGATGAGAGGCTTGCCTGGCGGTGATGAAGGACAGTTTGTGGACCTCGTGTGGGTGGTTTAAACACACAGCCAGCAGCCTACCCTATCCTTTAGCAGGACAGGGAAGGTACAGATCCGGTGTAAACCTTTGCTGCCTTCCCGTGGCACCTGCTGTGCAAGAAAGAGTTGTGCTGTCACCGAGACTCGGCTGTCCTGTCCTCCCAGAAGGAAGAATGTCACCCAGTCCAGGAAAGAAAAGTTGGGCACTAATGACAGCCTAGGGAAGTGTTTTCATGAATCAGTGGCATCACCAAGATTGGGGGATATGCGTCTCTGCTATCTTGAGGCCTATGTTTCAGGCTCCCTCTGTCATCACAATCGATTTGGGTCCATGGTCACTCAGAGAAGTGGGGTTTGGACCTGTCCAGGTGGGTCACCTCTCTGACTCCAGCCTGCCACTGCTTTACTCACTTTCCCATCCCTACCAAACCTAGAATCCTTTGCTCCTATTTCATCAAAGCTCCAGCGTTTGCTTTTTTCAAGAAAAGGCAAGATGGCAGGTAGGTCGGGGAGGGGAGTACTGATGGGGATGTGATGGGTTAGGGTTTCAGTAGGAGGAACAAGGTGAGCAGGGTCTGGCTGCAGAGGAGGAAGGCTGAGCCAGAGCTGAAGGGGGAAGATGTACTAGTTTGCTCTGCCGTAACAAAGTACCGCAGGCCAGGTGGCTTAACCAACAGAAATTTATTTCCCCTGGAGGCTGGAAGTCCACGGCCAAGGTGTTGGTAGGTTCAGCTTTCTCTGAGGCGTCTCTCCTTGACTTGTAGATGGCCATCTTCTCCCTGTTTTTCACGTGGTCCTCCCCCAATGTGTGTCTGTGTCCTAATCACCTCTTCTTATAAGGACACCAGTTGCATTGGATTAGGGCCCATCCTAGTGACCTCATTTTAACTAACTTACCTCTTTAACACCCCATCTCCAAATAGTCACGTTCTGAAGTACCAGGGGTTAGGACTTCAACATATAAAATTGTAGGGGACACATTCAGCCCTTAACAGAAGGTGAGTGAGCAGGGATTGGTGGCATTTGGAGGCTACTTTGCATACTGTTAGGATAAGTCAAATGTAAAGGTCAGTTGTCCTTAAATCCCCAGACACACAGATAGAAACAGCCGTGATTGGGAAACATGCTATTTTCTCTCCAGAGGAGAGAGCTGCTAATGGTAGAGTGTGTCACTGTAATTTTCATTTTCTCCACCACGATTTTGCCAGTGAGATCTTCTCTACTTCGTGGTGCTGAAGCAAGGACAGTCAGGTGACTGGTTGAGGGCACACCTCACACTACTAAGGACTCAGTGCACACCCTGACCCTCTGGCCTGATTCACCGTCCCTCGGCACAAATCCCTGACAAAAGTCAGGGACTGGTTCGTTTTAAAAATCCCCAACTTCCTGTAATCTCTTCACTACTAAGCTTTTGTTTTTTCTATAGCAAATTTCTCCCAGGTCCCCGACGCTAATCTTTATAAGCTAAGTCCATTAGAAATATTATTATCAATATTTTCCCACAGTATTCCTTGTCATCCTTTTGTTCGCCTCTCTGGCTAATGATTAATTTTCCCATTTATCTTTTGATCCTGCCTGGAGTAGCCTGTGGTTCTGAATTAACCCGGGAGTCTTTGTGGGGGCATTCCGGGTGGTGTGAGATTGGTCTTAGTTGTTCAGAACCTTCCATTTGCTGTGAGGGCATGTGTGAGGGGCTGGAATGGGATAAAATAAATATGGAATGTTTTTTACATTAAAAGAAACCCGTGTCTTTCAGGTTCTGCATCACTCTGTCTTCCCTCATGCTCTTGACCCAGAGGGTCACGTCCCTCTCTCTGGACATTCGTGAGGGGAAAGTGAAGGCAGCGTCTGGAGGCGTGGGGAGCAGCAGCTCTTGGTCTGAGCGTCTGCGTGAGGCGCTGCCCTATTTCAGCTACTTGCTCTTTTTTCCTGCTCTCCTAGGAGGTCCTCTGTGCTCTTTCCAGAGATTTCAGACTCGTGTTCAAGGGTCCAGCTCCTTGTGTCCCAGGCACTCTTTCGGGGCTCTGACCTGGAGGGGTCTGCAGATTCTGGGACTAGAGTGCCTGGCGGAGGTCATGAGGGGCGTGGTCAGTGCGGGAGCGGGACTGGCCGACTGCCGTGGGCTCCAGTGCGTCTATGTCATGTGGGCCACAGCGAGGCTCTTCAGACTCACCTACTACTCCCACTGGCTCCTGGATGACTCCCTCCTCCGCGCAGCGGGCTTTGCGCCCGCGTTTGGCGAGAGCCCTGGAGAGGAGGGATACGTCCCTGATGCGGACATGTGGACACTGGAAACAACCCACAGGATATCCCTGTTCACGAGAAAGTGGAACCAAAGCACAGCTCGGTGGCTCCGACGCCTCGTATTCCAGCAAGTCAGGGCCTGGCCGCTGCTGCAGACGTTCGCCTTCTCCGCCTGGTGGCACGGCCTCCACCCGGGGCAGGTGTTCGGTTTCCTGTGCTGGGCGCTGATGGTGGAAGCTGACTACCTGATTCACTCCTTCGCCAGTGTGTTCGTTAGATCCTGGCCGATGCGTCTGCTCTACAGAACTCTGACCTGGGCCCACACCCAGCTCATCATCGCGTATGTAACGCTGGCCATGGAGGTCAGGAGCCTCTCCTCGCTCTGGTTGCTGTGTAATTCTTGCAACAGTGTCTTTCCCATGGTCTACTGTGTTTTGCTTTTTCTATTGGCCAAGAGAAAGCATAAGTCTGACTGACATTTTCCCCCAGCCTTCACCTTATACATCCATGAAATAGAATTTAGAAAGTGCTAGATGGGGTGTTGATGATGCAGATATTTGAACTTTTCCTTAATGAAAGTTGTTTTTTTTTTAAGTACTGGATGAAGGTACCAGATGTCTTGCTATAGAAATTTGTGTGTCTACTTTGACAAGCTATGATCCTGGTACTGAGGGTCCACAAAAAGAAAGATGTGATTTTTTTCCCTTAGGGTTGACCGTGTTGGTGTGGAAGCAAAGTTAAAGTAAAGCAATACATACAAACCTAAGGTGCTGTGAACACACAGACACCCACTAATTGAGTGTCCGACGGGCCCGCCTGATCCTGGAATGTGAGTCTAGGAAGACAACAGAGCAATTCCTAAATCACATTATATCGGTCTGTTACGTGAACTAGAGTTCTTGTTCTGGCCTGTGTCTTGGCCCAAGCAGGTTAGTATTTTGACAAATCACATTTATCTTCTACAGATGCAAGGGAGGGGTCAGCAGCCTTGGTCCTATGGGCAACAGCCCTGGACAAGTGAATTGGATTCTGTGGGCCAAGTAAGTACTAGAGCTAAGTGAACAGTGGAAAGAGCCCCCAGGGGGCACCCACCTCCTGACCCCTGGCCTCCCGCCTTTTATCAGCCAAATTACTCTGAAGGAACCCGTATAGACCCTCAGCAGTCCTCGACCAGCTGTTTGGAAGTATTGTGTGAGATTCTGGTGATTAAGAAATCTCTGAAAATGGGGTAAGCCATGATAACTGAAAACCTCAGAAAATATTTAAGAGAAAGCTGCAAAATTTGCCTTCCTAAGAGGACCAAGACACTATAGATACCATCCGTGTCCTGAAATGGCATTCCCTGGTAAATGTTCTATGAAAACTTCAAGTCATCTCTTGGCCTATCACTTTGGAGAAGCCAGGCTCACAGGGCAGCCCTGTCCCCCTGATGCACAGGCAGCCACTCACCTGTGCGGGTCTTCCTCTGTTGGCAGTGGCCACGACCAAGAGGCAGCCATGGCCCTAAACAGATAACCCAGACTTAGCAATCCACATCTCTAACGGAGACAATCCGATCGTGGTGTTTTTTTTTTTTTTCCCCCTACCTATGTTGTTTTTAGAAAGTAGGCACTGGGACAGTTCACTGATACACATCCAACCTGTTGACTCACCAGTCCTTGTTCAATTCCATGAGAACATGGAAAAGGAGGCTCGGTAGCCCTGGCTGGCGTAGCTCAGTGGATTGAGCGCGGGCTGGGAACCAAAGTGTCCCAGGTTCGATTCCCAGACAGGGTACATTCCTGGGTTGCAGGCCAGAACCCCCAGCAACCGCACATTGATGTTTCTCTCTCTCTCTCTCTATCGCCCTCCCTTCCCTCTCTAAAAATAAATAAATAAAATATTAAAAAAAAGGCAGATCCATTTAAAAAAAAAAAGAAAAAAGAAAAGGAGGCTCGGATGGAGAATTTAAGGAGTTTGTTCTGGCAGGTATTAGGTCTTTCCACCTAGGAAGGTGACAAGAAAGCCTACTTTAAAATCTGCCCAAAGGATGCTCCTCAGCCCATGCGCCTGACCTGCTGGAAGCAGTGAGCTGTCTCTCTGGTCACCTCAGGGCCCGGCAGCCAGTCTGTAAGCCTGGGTGAAAACCAAGGGGACCAGGTTGATGGGGAGGCAGGTTCTGTGGGTGTGAAAAAACAGACTAGGGCCACTCTACAGTGACCAATAGATTCTGGGCTTTGCCATTGCCAGTTGCTATAGAAGTGTAAGTGGCAATCATTAGTAATTATCTTGATTAAAATGCTGAGTACTAGACTGCAGATTCGTCACTTCCAACAGACAGTATATGTTTGTAACATAGCAGATGGTGCAGAAACTTGGTTCTCTATTGTTTCAGGGTTTGACAGTAAGAGGTGGAGGGGTAGTGATTATAATCTATGAGGCCTTTCTCAACTGTGCCTATTTCCAAAGCATCTCAAAAGAAATGGTCTAGTAAAATGGGTATTACTACATTAGTATTTGGTTCCTAACCACTGTTGGTGCTGAGGTCAGCAAGGCCGCCCTGTGGTGAAGTGGCCAGAACACTAATCCCAGAGGCAGAGGGTCTGCATTAGCCCCCTGCTAGCGCTGACCGGCTGTGACCCCAGCCGTTCCCTCTGCAGGCCCAAGTTCCCTAGTGTGCCCAAACAAGTGGGTAAAATGTCCTTTACTTTTAAACCTGAAGGCATCATGACTGTGTAAACTGCTCTGTCAATTTTTCAACACAGGAAAAGGTAAAGCATCTTTCTCCCAACCTGCATCTCTTTATCCAGGAAGAAAAAAATCTGCTTGACTGCCTAAGGTTCTTTATAAAGAACTAGTATATTCTAGTTCTTACACTATTTCCCACCATATAGAAAGAACAAAGGGGTATTTTTGCGGCTCATTAAAAAAACAGAGAAAATGTATTTGTCTAACATTAATAAAACACCTTTAACTTCTCTTTCTGAATACTAGCTTTAACTTCTCAGTCTGTATTTGGCAGCTAATAATTATTGAATACTAATAATTTTCATCTGCTTTGGGCCTCACGTCCTGGAACAAAAGAATAGCTAGAGATGCCAGATTATCTCTAAGGAAGTATCGTCCTCTCGCTTGGTTTTTGCTGCATCTATTTTTTAGAAACGCCTGTTGAGCTACATCAGTTGAGAGTTACATATTTCTGTATTTCTTCCTTGCAGGGAGTTTGTACGCTTCGTTTAACACAGGAGTTTCCTTGGTTTAGTTGCATGGGCAACCTGAGTATGTTAAATCAAGTGACTTAGATGAATCCACTACTGTGAAGACATATGGGTGGTGTTTCCTGGCATCCTCAACTTACTGATGGAATATTTTCTACAATGTTGTTTCTAGGCTGTTTGAAACTCAAATTACATTTTCCTAGAGAAAGAACATCTGACTCCTACTGGGTGACACTCATTGTAATGATCCGAAGTCAAGGTCATGTTTAGGATAGGAGGAAAGAACAAAGATGGTTTCCTCCCCATTCCTTAGATTATAACTGAACCTAAACACATTTGATTTTTTAAATTGTTCATATTTATATAGCTCTGTAAATGTGTGGATTTTGTTTAGATCTTGATTCAAATAACCCAATCCTAAAAGGACCATTTGTAGGGGAATTTGAACATTAACTGGATATTGTAGCATTTTTAATTTTTTCAGGTGTAACAATATTGTATTTGCTTAAAAGGGTCACGTTTTAGAGATACCCAGAGATGTCTTAGATTTGCACTCAAGTAATCTGAGGTATGGCAAATAGGCAGCATGCAGATGAAATAGGCAGGACGCATGTTTCAAGTTGTTGAAGCTGAATGATGGCCCATGGGAGTTCACTATATTCTGCTTTTGTGTTAAGTTTGAAAATGTACATGAAAACAACTATGCAGAAGACTACTGGGTACATTTGACAGAGGGAAATTAAGGGAATTCCCTTCCCCAATTATCTTATGAAAAGATTAAAAACTGTAAAAATCACCGTTCTAAGGATCCTCTAAGATAAGCCCCAACGATCCCTCTTGTCTTCTTGGTACTCCCATTCTCCCACATTCAAGCAAGGTTGGTTTGTGTGACAAATAATCACATGACAGAGGTGATGGTATGCCACCTCTAAGGTTACCGCATTTTGCCATGTATAATGCGCACTCATGTTTTTGTGCGTATTATAGAAGGGATTGTTTTTACCCATAAATAACATGCATCCTTATTTTCCCCTCAAAAACTTGGGCAAAAAAGTGCACATTATACATAGCAAAAATTAGTAGTTAACAAAAGACAATGCAGTTTACCTGCTAATCTTTGCAACTTCACCTTTTGGCATCTTCTTCACTGCAGCCCAGCTATGCACCGCTGACCTAGTTTCTAGCTCCCTAAGCCAGTTCGGTTTCTGGGCTTTTGAAATTGCAGTTTCCTCCGTCTAGAATGTTCATGCTCAGACCTTGTTATGGCTGCTCCTTCACATCACTCATGTCTCTGCTCAAACGACACCTCCCCAGGAAGAACCACCTCGTCTAAGTTAAACCCCCTGTCCACCTCGTCATTCCCTTCTCCTCACCCTGCTTTGTTTGCTTCACATCACTTTTCACAAATCGACATCACAATTTTTATCTAAAGTTAAATCAGTTAAAGGCCTGGATAGTTTCCTAAACAGGAACAAGACATGGAAACCACCTGAACACGCTTTGTGCTTCAGGTCTGCGAGAATATGCTAGTATGTGACATCAGAAAACCTGCAACTCCGAGGGACAGAGTAAACTGGGTCTGAGACCTGTACAGTAAAAACTACAACACATCTGCTGAGAAAAATTAAAAACCAAAATAGAGAGCTATGTGCTCAGTTGAAACACTCAATGTTCACTAAAGATGGATACCACAATATATTCCTTTCCACACGCTTTTTAACAAAATATTGACACTTTTCCCATTGAGTGGTCTATGGCTGTTTCCCTTGAACCTGGGTGAAGGGTGGTAACTTTTTGACTAGCTTGACCAGTAGACCAGAGCCCACAGAAGTGATGCCATGTGACTCCCTGTGTACATGTGTTATTAAACTGCCACATGCTTGTGACTAGTTTTCTTGGGACATCTGCTCTTAAGAGTCCGGCCATCTGTTGTGAGGGAGCCAAATTTCCAAGGCGAGTCAGAGGGTCAGAGAGAGAAGAGGATCAGAGGCCCCTGACCCCCATCCTGGCTGAGCTCCCAGTAAACAGCCAACACTGGTTTGCCAGCCACGTAAGGAACCCATCTTGGGAGACGACCCACCAGTCCCCAGTGCAGCCACCTCAGCGGACACCACAGGGAGCAGAAATGCACCTTCCCTGGCAAGCCCTGCCCAGACTGCGGATTTGTGAGCTAAACAAATGACCATTGGTTTAAGCCAGTAGGTTTTGGGTGTCTTGTCATGCATCTATGGATAACTTCAGATTTCAATTCTCCTCTAAAATGATCTACAGATTCAGTATAATCCCAATAAAAATGCAAGAGGCTTTTTAAAAATAGAAGGTGACAGCTAATTCTAAAGTTTATATAAATGTACCAAGAACTGAGCATACACAATTTTTTTGGGGGGAAAAAAGAGTAGGAAGTCTTACCATAAATCTATAGTAAATTCACACTTACACGGTCCATTAATTTTTTTTTACAAAAGTGCCAAAGTATTTGAAAGGGGAAAGGTCAATCTTAACAACAGTGGCAGAAGTGAACATTCACCAGGGAATAAAAATGAACCTCAACTCTTATTTTATACCACCCACAAACATAAGTGGCAGTGAATCACAGGCCTTAATATAAGAGGCAAGACTATAAAACTTCTCGGACACAGAAGAAAAATCTTCATGACCTTAGATGTACTCAAGAAATGTTTAAAACTCATAAAAAGCGGGAACCACTTTTAAAAGAAATAACTGATAACTTTTATCAAAATAAAAAAAATTTGCTGTCTGAAAGACTTTACAAAAGCAAAACACAAATCTCAGAGTGGGAGTAAGCTAACATAATGCATATATATATCCAACACAGGACTTTACAACTCAGTAAGAGCCCATGCAATAAAAATGTGCAAAAAATTTGAACACATACTTCACAGAACACACTGCATTTTTTAGTTATTATACTCATGTACAAGCCTTTGTGTAGGTATTTTCAATTCTTTTGGGTATATATCTAGAATTGGAATTGCTGGGTCATACGGTAACTGTTTAGCTTTTCGAGAAACTATAAAATGTGTTCCCCAACAGCTGCATTATTTCAAATCCCCACTAGTAATGTATGAAAGATCCCAGTTTTTCTGCGTCCTCGCCAACTAATCATGTCTTTTTTATTCTAGCCATGGCAGGGGGTGTGAAGCAGCATCTCACGGTGGTTTGCATTTGGATTTCCCTAGTGACTAATAATGTTGATCATCTTTTCACGTGTTTACTGGCATTTGTATCTCCTCCGGAGAAATGGCTATTGAGATGCTTTGCCCATTTCTTAATTGTTTTTCCACTGTTGAGTTATAAGTCATTCATCTATTTTGGATACTTAATCCTTATCATACATATAACTTGCCAATATCTTCTGTTTTGTAGGTTGTCTTTTCACTTTCCTGATAGTGTCCTTTGAAGCACAAAAGGTTTACTTTTTTGATGAAGCACAATATAAGAAACCATTGCCGATCCAAGGTTTATACTTATGTAAATCTCAGACTTTTATAGTGCAGCTCTTATAATGTAGGTCCATGATCCATTTTGAGTTAATTTTTTAATATTGTGCGAGGCAAGGGTCCAACTTCATTCCGTGTGGATATCCGGTTGTCTCAGCAACATTTGTTGAACACACTCTTCTTTCCCCACTGAATTGTCTTGGCACCTAAAGTTGACTGCTTTAAAAAAGTAAGAACAACGAAAGCACTGGGGTGCTTAGGGGAGCAAAAGTTAAGGAGACCTCCACGTAAGTGCCCCATACCTGTAGCCCAGAGGTGAGGAAACCACCGCCAAGGTCACAGATCTCTTGCATCTGGTTAAAAGCAGTGGAATGAAAATCTCATCTGCCCCCGAAAAACCCCTCATCTGCAAAAGCCTGCACACCACTGCTGGCAGACAATGAAAACATCTTTTACTTTCATTCAGGTTTCCAATGAGCAAATGTTAGTTCTTTTTGAGTTCAGCTTCAGTTACCTGGAATATGTATTTTACAGGATTATGTTTGGTCCCCTGGGAATGACAGAAAATTAGGAGGCTTGCAATAGACTAAACGCATCCTAACCTTCCCCAAGAAAAATGACAATACAGGTTTATATGGGAAGTATATGAATTTGCATTTCCTACCAACTTTACATATCATAAAGCATCCCGAGATTTGAAACATACATATTACTACTTAACAGTAATGCTGCATGGCTGCTTGCTAGAGTTGTTGCATTGGTTGAAAGTTATCTGAAACTTATGAAATCTATTCACATTTTATATAAATATTCTAGAGCTACTCTAGAAACCTGGACTATTTGGATAGTGTCCCCCAAATCATATTAGACACTAAGAACCTGTAATCTGAACTTTATAAAATATATAATGAAACTAGAATTAGGATAATTTGGGACAAGATTCGTGTCTGATAAGAGAGTAGTACTTTTCTCTGTTCACATTGAACTGCACAGATTTTTTACTTTTAACTGTTTGCAATCTTTGCAAAAAACAAATTACTCTAATAATAAATGGTGATAAAGATAGTAAAACATGGCAGTCATAAAAAAGTTCTGGAAATTTAAGAACAAGTACAACTCTGACTTTAGATGATGAGTAACCTGTTTATGCCAACAAAACCTTCTATGGCTGTTTTTTTTTAAAAGTTGGGTAAAAACTCTACTTTCCCAGATTCGCAGTCTTTTTACTATAGCTCAAAATCACAGGGCTTTCTTGTAATATTTATTACTATGGTTTCAGTTTTATGTTGGAAGTGAAACCTCTGCAAGTCTATCGTTATAGCTAATGTCACATCTGCTTTCTATCACACTATTAACATGGATAACGTACTTCAGAAACTGAAGTGTGTAGTACATTTTCATTTCAAAAACACCCACAAACTAAAAATAGATATTTAAAATCTTTATTGTTTCATCACCAAAAGTTCTGTTTCCATAGAAGAATGGCAATGAAGTATCAGTGCATGTTCTATGGAAAATTCATACCTCAAGTAACTAGCCTAGAAATCAAAGACAGCACTATGTCAAGCCAGTGTGCAAGATCAAAACCACAATGCTGCCAATGCAATTAGTATACAGAAAGACTATGCAGCTGTTAGAAAAAGAGGCTGTGGCCACGTGACTAAAACAGTTGCAGTGTCCTGCACTGACATCCTAGAACAGAAAATGGGGAAGGACCAGAAAATGTACTTCCTGCCAAAAGAAGAAATCGAGTCGACCCCAGGCCCTGAGCTCCCAGTGGTTTTACCAGCTAACTCCTGTGGTCCTGCACCTTCCTCTTTAAGTCTGCAGCACTGTACCACTGCACGCCGCTTGCAGTCCGATGTGTAAATGGGACAACCACGTGCAGATACCTCCCTCTGCCTCCCATCTCACAGCTACAAGCAACAACTTGGGCTCGGCTATAAAACCTGTGGCCTTTAGGCATCTTCAGTAAAAATATGAACAAGCCCAAAATTTGTTCCCATTTTCTTGAGAAATAAACTTTATAAAATAACTAAAGAGAGCTGTCATGAGTACTCAGTTTTGTCTGAAGGCAAAACAACGTTTTATGTAAGTATACTGAATAAACATACAAATCTATGTCCCTAACAAAATACTGTCAGGCCAATTTGAGCATTTTCATAACTAGCTCCTGAAAGAAGTACTGATAATGGTGAGCTGCGAATAATCACTACAACTGGATCACGCCTGGTGGCTGGGGGCAGGTTTGTGTCTGAAGCTGCTGTACAGCTGGATGTGGCTGCTCTGCATTAACTCGCATAATGAATGCCATTTAAGAGGAAACAGCAGCTCTATCACAATGAAATAAAAATGAAAACAATTGAGAGGTATATAGGAAACTTGTCTTAAATAGTTTTAAATAGCCTATGATGAAACCTTAGAGGGTAAGAACTACAATTACCACAGTCTAAATCTTAAATTGTTAATGCAGGAATTATCTGCAGGGCCGGCAAGCCACTCCTCAATCCCACCAAGGCCCGTGGGGCAGAGGGCACTGCGAGTGCCTGGCAGAGCGTTTTCTCTCCAGGTGGGTTACACACCTCCAATGTAAAGTGTTATTAAACGATATTGGAAAGCGATTTTACTTAACACAGACATTGTATAAAATAAATTAAAAGGAGGGAGCAGGGAAAGGTTTTCTGGTAAATGTGATGCAAACATACAACTTTCCCTTATCAGTGGTAGTTCCATGAAAGACCATTTTACCCACGGGAGAACATGAAAGGCTGAAAGAAGATCAGAAATTTCCCTTATAAATAGAAACAGGATTCAAAAAATGAGATTTCAACATAGTTTCCTCCCACAATGCAACTCTTTAACTATTTGCAACTCTTTATCATAAATGTAAATAAAAATCGTATCTTAAAAACCTGTTTTTATGCCCTTACCTTAAAGTTCAACAAAAAATTCTTCAAACAATTGAGAAGAAAAGCACTCCTTTGTAGCAATTCCATAAAATAATTTTCAATTCACAAAACATCTGCTTACTGGTAAAACCAGCAACCCTTATGGAGGGTACGGGCATTAATACCTGGCCCTTCTGAGGTATAAATGCAGCTAGATTTGCACTGAGTATATAGCCTATAAGGTATGCCAACAGTCTAAATGTTTGCATAAAATTGGGAGTGATGTCATCCTGACTGATTGAAAACTTACTTTTATAACTTTTTGTAACAATGGAGGTTAAATAATTTTAAGAGAAAAGACATACTTTAGCCCAGTAAAGCCAGAAGAAATCTAATTTCTAACCAATGTGAACAGTTATTACATTTAAAAAATGTTTAACATTGCATATTGATTTAAAACAAAAAGTGAACAAGGAAAACACATAAATATTTAAATTCAGCAGGACACCACAAAAGCATACTATAGATAAGTGTGAAATCAGTCAAACTTTCCAAAAGAGAAAATCCTTTTAATCCTTTAGCAAGTCTCTGTGAACACAGTATGCTTACAATGCGCGTGAGAGGGGAGCACCTAGAACACCCCCGAGAGGCTTGCTACCCCTTTCGGCAGCGCTGCCCCGTCTCCTGTGTGCGCGGAGGGCCGACCCACGACAAGAAGTCCATCTGACAACAGTTCCGCAGTCTCTTTCACCACTGCTGCCAGCTGAAGTCGTCGTTGCTTCCAAAGACCAAGAAAAAGCCCAGTATAGTTGCAAAGATGACTGTGTTTCCTGTGAGAACAAGTGCACAAGCTCCCCACTCAATCTACGGAAACAAGATATAAATACTCAGTTAACAGACATAGGAAAACCAAAGAAAATGAAAAACAAATCAAGGCTCTAGTCATATGCCAATCATAATCTACAACAAGTAAGATTTATAATAGTAACTTTCACATTATTGAGGGAAGAGAATCTAAAATTTTATTTAAAGTACCACAGGTGAAAACACATTCATGCGTGTCTTTTTAAAGGGGCAAGCGGAGTGAGCACCCTCTCCATGGGGAGGGGTGGCCAGTCCCCCCTCTCTGCTTCCCTGGAGATGGAAGAGTGAACCTGGTCGGGGAGTTGGATAGGAAGAGCTGAGTATAAGCAACCCGCCTTCTCTTTTGTACTTTCCCACCTGCAAAGAACCCATGATCTCCTTGGATCCTCATGGTTCAAGCTGTCCAGGGCAGGCCTACAGTTGTTCAGCACCAGGCTGATGAGCTGTCATGCCCAATACCGACAGCAAAGTATTGGTGAGCCAATGGTGCTGCAGACCCGAGCCATGCTCTCCAATGTAATTTTTACCAGCTAACAACAACAAAAGCTTTTTTTAAGTCTCTATCCTCGAGGCTCCCATGTCTTTTATCTCCCTTTTTTATGTCGTTTTAACAAAAAGTTTTTCCTGAGAAGAACTTTACATTAGTGAAGAATGTATTCACTTACCAGGTGCGCTCTGGCAAATACAATAGGGAGTCCAAAAGCTGAGACAACGATGCCCGTTGTAAGAAATATGGCGAGTTCCTTACAGGCATTACTCATAGCATCTGTATCATCCACTAGTCTTCTCGCTATGCAGTATGGGATAGGTGAAAGGATGTAAAAAAACAGCACAAAGAGGGGCCAGTATTGGCTGGAAAAAGAAAGATGAGTTAATGTAGTTTTTGCTATGTCATTTCCCTACATATAAAATATGCTTTTAAAAAATGAGGAGCAAAGGAATATGGCAATGTATAGAACATGATCTGGCTTAAAAATAAGCTATAACCCGAACACTACAATGAGGAACATTTGGAATCACAGTATTCCTAGTGTCAATTAGAATACAATTAGTGAAATATTTATTCTATTAAAAGAAAATGCTTTAAAAATTATAACAGTTGGAAACAAAGCCCTAAATTTAAAATATTTTCATTTTTGGTTATAAACAAAGAGGCATATGGAGAACAGGGATATCACAGTGAGTTTTAAAATTCATAATTCATGTCCTTAACTGCAAGGATATCCTGCCTTAGCATAAAGCTGGAAAGCCTCCAAGCTCTTCTTAGGTCACTAGGAACTCCCAAAATACTGAAATCAAGACAGGGGAAATGAACTGAAAGTAATATTGAAAAGTTTCAGCCAGAATATAGAATTTATCACAAGAAAAATAGATGGCTTTTAGTTTATAGTCTAGCTATTGTAACGCCACTTCTTCATTATGCTAATATAACTCTAAGTTAAGGTAAGACGGTACACTGAGGGGAACTGTGAAGAATAGGGTGGGGGGGCTGCTCTGTGCTGTGTTTGCAAATTCTTCAGAGTCCATAATTATCTCACAATAAAGAGTTAAAAAAGGATAGACAGCCTTTAAAATTACCATAAATAAAATACACATCAGAGTGGAGATTTGCTTATACTTACAGGCTTTTGACAAAGATTTATCTATGTTTTTACTAAAAATCTTTTCCTAAATATTTTGAGAATATAAAAAATTACAAATGAATATATGCTTAAGAAAAGAAATTTAAACAACAGAGCACAAAAAGTGAAAACTCAAAGTTGCCCATATCTCCCGTTTTTTTTCTTTCTGAGTCTCATTTTGAGCTTTTTATGGATCCTTCCATACAGAAAAACTCCATAAACATATACCACTTTTTCGGACTATAAGACACCCCCCCAAATTTGAAAGGAAAGGGGGCGGCCTTATAGTCCGAATGTAGCTTACCTGACTCGCTGGTGGAGGGGCGGCAGTGGCTTATGTTATTTATGTTATTAAATATTTTGCCACATTTTTTGCTTCAAATTTTTTCCCCTATTTTCCCCCTCTAAAACCTGGGTGCATCTTATAGTCTGAAAATTTTGGTAAAAGAATCACTGCACTTCTTCATTCAACGATACAGCCTGAACTTTCCATATTAGCAATTACAGCTCTTCCTCATTCTTTTTAAGACCGCCTCATGTTTCCATGGGTGGATGTGCCAAAATGTCACCATTTTCTTTTTCCCAGACCTTTAGGATGTTTCCAGGTTTTTCTGTCCGTATAAACAAGGTTGCCACGGATACCCACACTCTCCCCCAACCATGCATATCTGCAAATACCTGCAAGTAGATTTGTGTGAGAAATTCTAATAAGTGGAAAGGTGAGTTTGAAGAACATACATTTTGAGAGCTGCAGGCAAACTGGCCTCCAAAAAAACTGCTCTTGTTTATCCCTCTACTCACAGTATAGGACACTGCCTGTTTGCCGGCATCTTTTTTGTTTTTGCCAATGAATTTCATTTAATTTTGAGTGAGGCTGAGCATATTTTCATGGACTTATAAGCAATTTGCAGTTCTTTTACTTATTTGTTGAAAATGTACTTTCATTTTCCTGGTTTCATTTTTTTATTGAGCTGCCCATCTTTTTCTTACTCATTTATCCTATTAACTTTTAAAATTCCTTGTTACCCTAAGAAAAGTAACTGCTTATATAATTTATTTTCTTAGTTAACTTCTCTTGACTCTGCCTATGGCATCTTTGCCGAAAGGACATTTTTGATTTTGTCAGTGGGTACTCAGAAGGGAGCAGTGGGTCTGGCCCGCTGCGCTGCAATCTCGCGGTCGCAGGCTCAGCAGTCCTCTAGGAGCAACAGCCCAAAGTCTTTTTTGCATCCTGGTGTCCTAAAATATTTATAAATTTTAAGTAAAGACTTTTTAAAAAGTGTTGACCTTGGTAAATGAACATTTCTCAGGATTGCTTTTACAGTCATAAACATTTTTTAATGCTTTAAAAGTAGGAAAATTTTATCTTATTTATGTAAAACGACAAAAATATTACATACTTGTATATTGGAAGAGCACATCCAAGCATCAAAAACATCAGCCCAATTGCTCCTCCGAAGGACAAACTAATCAAAGCTGCAAAATAAAAAGTCAAGTAGAAATACTAATTATTAGTATTAGCAGTCTGAACATTATTTATAATCCCAGAAGCAAAAAGCAAAACAATACACAAAAATACAAATGTATTAAAAGTAAGTTATCTTTCAAAGTCTAAGTTACCTAGTCTCAGAATAGGTCTTCTGTAGCATCTTCAAGGCAAAATGGAGCAGTAATGATTTTCAGAGCCCTGACCTGTTGCTAGCACACCACCAAATTCCCTTTCCTGGCTCCATTTCTAATGAGTGTCTCAATCTGCAAGAGCAATGCTCCTCCAGACATTAGTATTACAGTTCCTCCACAGAATAGTGCAGTTTTGAAAAGCAGTATATGGAGAAACTCTGCACTGTCATTTCTACTGGACTTTAGAAGCCCCATCCTGTGGGAAAATCTCTCCCACTGAGCTTTTGCTGCTTCTTTTTTTTAGGTTTTATTTATTACTTTCAGAGAGAGGGGAAAGGAGGGAGAAAGAAGGGAAGAAACCTTTATGTGCAAGAGATATGTTGATCAGCTGCCTCTCACATGCCCCCTAATGGGGACTTGGTCTGCAACCCCAGCATGTGCCCTGACTGGGAATTGAACTAGCAACCTTTTGGTTCATAGGTGCGCACCCAATCCACTGAGCCATACCAGCCAGGGTAGCTTTTGCTTCTTGTGCATATATATACCCCCAATATGCATAAAACTGTTAAGAAAAAAGTGTCCAAAATGTACAGAATATTGGTTACATCCTTCTGTGGTATCACTATTCACTATTTTAAGACATTATCACAAACAATAGATACATTCTAAGTTGAAACATACTGTAATTGTCGGACTATAAGATACCCCCCACCCAAAAAAAATTTGGGAGGAATAATGGCTGTTAATGCTGCTGTTGAGTTCTGTTTACATTTACATTGGTGAAATATTATGTTATTAAATATTTCACCACATTTGTTGCTTCAAAAATTTTTTTTCCCCTATTGTCCTCCTCTAAAACATAGGTGCATCTTATGGTCTGAAAATATGGTAGCTTCTCAATTTACATACACATACAAAGTCTTATATTTTACAAAGCATTTTCACATATATCAGTGAATAGCAACAACTTTCTTGAATAGCCATAGTTAATCAATGACCTAGAATTAAGCAAAGAAATAAGTGATCAATTTTTTCCAATTCTATGTAGCCCATATTTCTGCAACTGCACGACTAAGAGAATAACATGTCTTTCCCCCCCCTTTAGTGATGTAGTTAAAATTACAAAGATTTGTAGAAGGCCTAAACATCAAAACATATATGTACACATAACATATACAGGCCAAAATTAACTGTAAAGGGGGTAAATGCCGCCAACTACTACTGATAAACTTCTCTGAATTAAAATGGGCATAATCAAGGAAATCCATTGACATGGTAGCTCGGCAGATTTAGTTTTCATTTAAATCACTGATGTAGGTCATGTCAACCCCGAACTCTTAGTCCCCAATGCCATAATATTTCCAGTTAAGGAAATAAAAGAGAGAGAAATATTTAAACTTTTATTTCACGGCAACTGAGGAAGTTTACAAGGGAACGCAATGCAAACCATTAGGAAAATACTGAGTGTACCATCTGCTTCGGTCAGTCCAAAACAGGTCCTCAGAATCTGCCCTGTTTGCTTCCCCTGACACATATCAGCCACAGCAGGCTACTGCTAACCCGTGTCCTCTGAAGTCCAGTGACACTGGCCCTCTCTCCTTTTCTAGAAATCAGCAGGTTCCCTTACCCATGTGGATGTTGCACTTGCTGTGTCATCTACCTCAGACACTTCTTTACTCGTTCATTTCATTCAAAAATATTCACCGAGCACCAAATAAGTAATAGGTGCTGGGGATGTGTTAATAAATGAGACACGACCTTCTCACACTCAGGGAGCTTGCCTTCTTGTCCTACTCCTTACCTCTTACCTCCAACCTAATTTCTACTGTTCCTTCAGGTCTCAGCTCAGTCATTTCTTCCTCAGTAACGATTTTGCAAACCTACTAAGTAGAATAATTGTCCCTATCTCTGTCATTCATTCATTCAATAAATATCTACTAAGCACCTAATGTGTGTCACACACTGTTCTTGATTCTGGAAATTGAGCAATGAAAAAAAACAAACAAAACAAAAAACACAAAGCTCTTACTCTCATGAAGCTTATATCATAGCCAGAGAATATGATTTTTTAAAAAGTCAGCAAATAAATGTCAAGTGCTATAAAAAAAAAAATCATTCCCTGGCTGGTATGGCTCAGTAGATTGAGCACTGGCCTGTGAACCAAGGAGTTGCTGGTTCAATTCCCAGTCAGGGCACATGCCTGGGTTGTGGGCCAGGTTCCTGGTAGTGGGAGCACCAGGGGCAACCACACACTGATGTTTCTCTCTCTCTCTTTCTCCCTCCCTTCTCCTCTGTCTAAAAATAAAAAATAAAATCTTTAAAAACAACAACAAACAAAAACCCAGCAGGGTAAGGGGGAGGGAGTGCTATTCTAGATACATTAGCCTGGGAAGGCATCTCTGACGAGGTGACACCTGAGCAGGGATCTATACGAAATGAGAAACTGGACCATGTGGGTACCTGGGGGAGCAGTCCAGGCAGAGGGACATGCATGTGCAGAGGCTCTCCTTACACTGTACACCTCCCCTTTGTTCAGTTACCACAGCTGTCACTTACCTTGATTTGTATTTGTCCTTCCTTTTAAACTGTTCATTTCACAAGAGAAAAGTTTTTCTGCTGTTGATGCTCACACCCCACTCCTAACACTCAATATTAAGTATCTATAGAATTAACGAAAGGAGCCAAAGGGGTGGGTGGAAGGAGGGAAGAGGAGGGGTGTGGAGGGGAAGACAGTGTGCCCGATACAGCAGGGAAGACACAGCCCTTAACTGAAAGTCAGGGGATACTGGGTCCTATCTCCTACCAGCCTCCTACTAGCTGTCTAAATAATTACAGTTGAGTGTTAGTTCTTTCTTCTACGAGAGTTGGACTAGATCTGAAATGCAAATAATTCTCTTAACACTAAAGATATTTGTTATAAGACATGCTGAAGAAGTAAAAAACCATTTCTACTTTTTTAATGTAGTTGACAAACAGCTGAGTTCACCACTATAGATACTATATAATAATACCTTATTTATTCAGAGGCCCTTTACCCAGAATATAGAATCCTGGAGGCAAAGAAGGCCACTAAAGAGACCAAATGTATGTCACAGAGCCCATACACTAAAGCCAACATTCTTTATACGCAGACCCTTAGGCTCTCATTCAGAGGTTATTTGTTCATATTTTATAATACAATTAGTGTGAATTTCAGAATAAAAAAATTGTTTAAAAAATCATCTATGCTCATTTATAAATATTTTCAATAGAAAAATCATGTACCCAGAACAAAATTAAGTAAAAAGTCACTTTTCCTTCCAGAAAAGATCAGTTACCTATAACTTATGACACAAAAATTTTTTAAGTTTCATGATCTTGTTCCCCACATTGAAACAAATGAAAAAGAGGAGACAAGATGAACTGCATATAAGCAGATCTGCCAGAGGACAGATCTCCTGACAGGGAGGAGACCGAAAAAAAAATTTTAAACCAGGCAGAAAAATGCTCAAAAAACATACCAGTGTTTGGTCATCTTGGCCAAGAGGCCAGTAGCTTTAGGACTCAGTCTCTGAGGGTAACTATTTTGTGACAGAGAACAACTGTTTCATTCTTATCATCAGAAAGGACAGTCTAAATTCTCTGAGTATACTCTTAAAAAGGTAATGAAAGACAACTTCTTTAAAAAACATAAGGAACTAAAATGAGATAAGATTCAGGTGTGAAAAGTAATTTTACGTGACCTCTCAGTGACCTCTCACTTCCCGGTCACAGGGGACCAACGCCAAAGCCAATGGGGTTGAGTAAATTGATCAGAAGTGCTCTCCCAAGTCCCCAGTCTTACGAAATTAGCAACTAGGTTCATTTATATACAAATTTCATCATTAGTGTATAAATGCTTGTCCTAGATGATGCATCAGCAAGACAAAAATTTATACTGTAATTGAGTGATGCAACACTTGGCAACGAAACTTAGATGAGTCTGGTTTCTCTTCCCAAAGCCTCTACTCTAGGGAGGGAACAGCCCAATCACCTACACTCTCTAGAGACAGGGTGCTGGTTCAGTGATTACAGAGAAACTACAGTAGCAGAGGGCACCAGTTTCCTAACCTAGGCATTACCAGAAAAACCCATGATATCGCAAAGCAATAGGCAAGCGCTCCAATAATAAGTAATGAACTCCAACTGTAACAACACTCTTTAATATAAATAGGCCAACAGGAAAAAATATCCTGATAAACAGTCATACTCATAACAATCAGAAGACAATACTGAAACCAAAATTGTTAAGTACAATTCCATCTGAGACACTTTCACCCAGTAAATATTTATGCAGGTTTACAGGAAGAAATTACAGTTATTTTAAGAAAGAGACTCCTGCATTAATGACGCTGAAGAAATGGGAACCTGGCAACATCCTAAAAACCACAGCCGTCTACCATAACTGCCTTTCACACAAGGACTTGAAAAGGTCTACTATGGTTCAAAAGGAGATCATAAAGTGCTTCAGCTGCACAGATGACCGTTTTACATGGGAAACGAAATGTTTTCAGAAAATTAAAAAAAAAAAATGAAAGAGGCTCACAAGGTCTCCGTAGAGGATATAAAAGACACAGAAAGAAAACACGGCTATCAAAGTTTTTCACTTCCTGCTTCGCTGCCCCTTTTACGAAGCCGCAGGTCAGGAAATCGGTGAAGTTTGTCGTCAAATTGAAAACGCGGTTCACTGGTATCTGTTTCTAATCACAACAACAGAACTACCAGTTGAAAAGAACGCAACGTTCCTATATTCCTATTTCTAAAGAAAATATACACTCAAACGACTAACTGTTCATTAAGTTTTAACACTATTTTATCTTGAAAAACCTCAACTAAATAAGAACTTTCAAATGTGAAAAAGCCTCAACGTGCAAGTGTGGGAGTGGGCAGAAAACAGGAGCACTTTGGAGTCGCTTAGAGGGTCTTAGGAAACGGCACAGACGCCACAAATCAAAATGCAGTTTTTAGGAGCGTGGAAAGCCTCGAGCGCGGCTCCTGAGACGGGATGTGGTCGCCGAGGTTTCGGGAAGAACCGTCCTTAACCCTTCCAGGGCTAATCCCTTCCTGAGCGACTGGGTTCGGCTCAGCACCCGAAGATCGCACTTGTCCCTTTAAGTGGGAAATGACACTGATTTTCCGTAACTGGCATCTCTAGTCGTCTCAACCCCCTCAAACCCCACACTCTGCTCTCCTCTTTCTCCGGTGCAAACTCCTGCAAAAGGAGTTGCTGCGGGACTTTAAACGGACCACAGACCACTTCATTCTTTGCACGGGGGGCGATGGGTGGAGAGGGAGAGGCTGCCGAGATCAGCTGAAAGCGGGGGCGGGCGCAGAAGCCGCGGTCCCCTTGGTCCTTCACAGAGAACGCCGCGCCCACCGCGACACCGCGGGCCGGAGCGGGGGTCAGGGGTCGGCCTCCGGCGCAGGACCTCGCGGCGCGCGCTCCGACCGGGGCGGCGGCGTGCCGGGGCCGCGCGGGACCCTCCGACCCCGCGCTGGGCGGCCACTCAGCGCTCCCGCGCCTTGCATCCCAGGCCCACCTTTGATGCCGGCCATGGCGGTAACGTCCCTCCTGGCTCCAAGACCCGAGGCGGCGGCGGCGGCCGGGAGACCAGAGACGCGCGGCTGTAGCAGCCACCAGACAACACCCGGAAGTGCGCGACGCAGCACTTCCGCCGGCGGCTCGCACTCGCGCAGGGGTGCGGGGGGCGCGGGGGACGCGGGGGACGCGCGGGACGCGCGGGCTTGGGACTGGGAGGCCGACCCCTTCCTTCGCTTCTCAGCAACCCGGCAGATCGCCGCCCTCGGAGGCTGTCCTCCCCAGCCCCGCTTCCGGGGCGTGGCGTGCCGGCGCCGTCCCCCACATGCTTCTCAGGGTTGGCGGAAGCTCCATTCCGAAGCTCCTCCGGCATCCCGAAGTGTCGCAGAGTCTTTGATGTGCAGGGATCGCCAGTAGCCGCCGACCTTCGGAAGACGGGGTGATGTCTTTGGGGAAGAATTTTGCGATTCTCAAGGCGCATCCATTTTTCTCTCTTCCCAGCTTTGTAATAAAGGTGAAGGAAGGCTAGCTGGCTGGTCTGCACTTGGCTCCTCGGTTTCCGACTCAGAACTAGGGTTCTGGTGAGACCCACCTCCGGAGAAAGCAGTGGGACCCGGTAAAGGGTGGATTTAATACAAACCCAGTCTCTGGGGAGTCTGAGAATCCCTGGGTTTTTCGGATAGTAACAGGGCTAGAAAAATAAGGAAAAAAGCAGAGGTACAAATACACTTATTTTAACTCGTCGTAGAAATTTATTGAACATTTACTATGTGTTGGCAACAGGGCAAGTCACTGAGGTCACCAAACTGGGTACGGATTGTTCTGTTCAGGAGCTTCTAGTTCAGTGAGACAGACACACAAAACAGCGTGAGATACAACAGTGATAATTGCTAGGGCAATAGGTAAATAGTTCTATGAAAACCTTCGATTTAGATCAGTCAAAAGATTTCCCTGAGGGAGGAACAACAGGGACGTACAGATATGTAGCTAGAGAAGAAGGAAAAGCCATCCCGGGGAAGGGATTGTGTGTTTGTGAGCGGGGTGGGGGTGATGAGTTTGGGCGGCGGACTCTGGGAGCGCAGGACTTGGTCCGCTGGAGAGAAGGTCAGTGGGATTGCTGGGGTTTGGGCTGGGCAGTATGGTTGGTTACACAGCAAGGTCCTATAGAATGGGCCGGCCCCCCGCCCCTTCTGAGCAGTAAGAATCTTTTGAAGGGTTTTAAAAAGATACAAGTGGAGGTGGGTAATGTAAGGTTTGAATTTAAATCTTTTCCGTCATGGGACTAAGATAAGATGGCATATAAACCCTTGTTGAGTGAATGGTTAGAAGACATGTTTCCAACATGCTTTAAAATGAGAGATACCGGGGAACTAAAGATGTTCATTCTGCTCCCTTCCACCATTTCCAAGCTTGAATTAAAAAAAAAAAACAACAAAACTATTTTAAAACAGGTTTCTTCTTAAGGCTTAATGCTCCAAGTAAGTCTATAGGTGCCTTGTGGAGAATTTTTTCAATTCAAGTTGGTGCAAAAAATTCTGCCACCTTCTGTACCACGAAGAAAGAGTTTCCATTTAAGGACTGTGGTAGCAAAACCACAGGCACACTTGAACATATGTTGTGGAAATGTTGCTATTTAGACAGCCTGTGAATCACTAGCCCTCTTTCTAAACTGAAGTAGACCTATGCATCCTGCCGTCCAACCATCTTGAAGGGGGTAGGTGGAATTCCTGGAGAAGTAAATGATTCCATCCCAAATAGTCACTTCTAACATTTTGTTTCACAGGCATCCTTAAAAACAGGGATGGTTGAGGGACCACAGCAAAGAGATAGCTGATCAGTGGTGGTGTATTGGGAAGTGATAGCTTCTTACCTCATAGGTTCATGGCTTGGCTCTTGGGGAAAGTTCACATTTTAGTAAGCCTTTTGGAGCTTCCAAAAACCCCAGTGGCAGAGTTAAATGCTAGTCCCCTAGTTTCCTCCCATGAATATAATGGATTGGGCATTGTAGACATTCATCCTTGATAACATTTATAGGCAACTAGGATTATTCTTTAGGTTAGAGGGGATTTTTGCCTCTGTGGTCCCTGAATCCCAAGAGTTTGTCCTCCTTTGACTTTTCCATAAGATCCACATGTTTCTTGGAAGAAAACACTCACTACACTAAGGACTGTTTTTGGTTTGCGGATGTCTAGAGTTATTTGAGACCTTAAAGACAGCATGTCCAAATGTTGTATTTCAAGGACCACTCTAGATATTCCAGAATTTTTGTGGGCAGAGCCCAGGAATCTGAAATTTTAACAAGAACCCTAAAGATTTCCTGTGCAAACTGAAGCTTGAAAGTAATTGTGTTAAAGGGGCAGAATGTCAGGTGTTTTTTTAAAAAATTTATTTATTAATTTTAGAGAGAAAGGAAGGGGGAGAGAAAGAGAGAAACATTGATTTGTTGTTCCACTTACTGATGCACTCAATGGTGGCTTGTATGTATCCTGACCGGGGATTGAACCTGCAACCTTGGTGTATCTGGAGAATGCACTACCTCAGTGGACCCCAACCTTTTTGGTACCAGGGACCACATTCATGGAAGACAACTTTTCCACTAACCAGGGCAGGGGGATGGTTTCAGGATGCTTCCTAAGCATTATATTGAAGCTCACCTGGTCCACTCCATGGCCTGGAAGTTGGGGACCCCTTCTCTAACCAACTGAGCTACCCAGCCAGGGCAGTTTTCTTTACCAATTTGCCAAGTGAATCTTAAACTTTAGTAATGTTATATCCTTTAAATGTTCTCTATTCCTATATAATAGTTAATTTCTCATAGTTTTAGAACTTTTCATTTAGATGGCTTGCTGTCCTCCAAAGTTAATTCACAAAGATGGTAATAGAGCTGAGGGAAAGAGCTGTTATTTATCGAGCAGCTGCTGTGTACCTAGTGCTTTAAATATTTATCTGATTTAATCTTCCCTACAATTTTGTTAATTTGGAATTACTACCTCTTACAGATAAAGCCAGAGAACCCCCAGAAAAGATTTTAGTTTTAATTTTAAAAAGCTTTATTTTGGAAAATTTTAAATATATAAAAAAGTATTCCAAATAGTGTGATGAACTTCTATGAACCTTCAGCTACCCTTAACAGTTAGCACATGGTCAATGTTTTATCTATTCTCCCCATCAACTTCCTCCTACTTCCCATATTATTTTGAAGGAAATTCCAGATATAACTTTTTATCTTTGATATTTCAGTGTTCCTAAAAGGATCTTAAAAATAACATAGTCATAGTACATATATCACACCTGAAAAACATTTCTAATTTCCAATTGTCTTATAAATATCATTTATTTTATAGTTTGTTTAAACCAGGATCGAAATCAGGTTCCCACATTGCTCCTGCCATACCTAAATTCTCTCTTTAGACATTGTAGTTCTTCCTGGGGCATTAAATAGTGTCTTCATTTTGGTAACTACCAAATTTACCTTAGCTTTGAAATTTAGACTTATATATCCAAGTGTCTACTTGACATGTCTACCTGGATGCCTACATCAAACTCAACATGTTGAGAATAAAATTCTCTATCATCTTTATTCCATTCTTGCTTGGTCCCTCTCTGAGACACCACTGTTCTGCCACCTCTTGTTCCACTCTTCCCCAGTCTAACTTTGCTTTAGTTGTACTGGCTTTGTTTGCCTCTCCCACCCCCAAATTTTGTTTTATTCACTGCTGATCCCCTGTGCCTGGAAGTATCTGGCATGTACTATTATTTACTGATAGGTGCTCCATATATAAATGTATGGTCAAGTTAGTGAATGAGTTGCTCAAAACACAAAGCCTGGCTTTTGCATCCACTGTTCACCAGGCGGGCATGAAGGCTCTTCCTCTGATCTTTGTATGGTTGATTCTCATCATTCAGGTCTCAAAGCTTCAAAATCACTTGCTAAGGAAGGTACTCCCTCCTTGAACAAGTTGCCTCCCAGTCTCCATCACCCTGTTTTATTTTCACCTATGCACTTATCATTACCAATTATCTTAATTTATCAACTTATTACTTAGTTTTGTGTGTCCTATCCCATTTCAATGTAAGATGCTTGAGTGCAGGGACTTTGGCTGTATCCTGCATGCCTAAAACAGTACCCAACACATATTAGGCATTCAGTCTACATAAGTTGAGTGAATGAATGAGAGCCTCCTAGAATTTTCTCTGGTTGATTCTTTATTTAGGCAGTAATTTCTCTTCCTGATATTTTCTAAGCTCTTACTGCCACCACGCAGAAGGAAAGATGCGTCTCGTTTTAGAAGGCTCTGAGCCTCTAAAACGAGACGATATATTTCCATGTTATCTTTCGGTCGAATTTTCTCTGTAGCCAACCAGGTGCTGAAAACAAAGTTGAGCGAGGCACACCAACTTCCCAGGGAAGGTTACTGAGGTTTTGGACAAAGCTAACTTGACTGACTACATACACCTTAGATTTTGCATCCCGATGGTTTCACTCTTTCCCAACCTCAGCACCGACATGAAGAATCCGGACAGCAGCCCTTGGCCCCGCCCGAAGATTGCGTCACTCCTCTCGCTCCGCCCTCCTCCGCTGCGCCCAGTCCCCCGCCGCTCAGAGCCTCAGGGGCGGGGCCAGCGGCGTCCACTCAAGATCCCAAAAGCGCCGAAGCGGCAGTGACGTGAGGCAGGCGCACGGACATCCGTAGCTGTTGCGACTCTGCCGACCGACTGTCCCTTCTTCGAGGCCGGAATTCCTGGTGTCCCTGGGCAGCTGCGCGCGGATTTCCACAGGTCTGATATCCGTCCACGAGTGCCTGGCACCCGCACACCATCTTCGCCCATCGCCATGGCCGCGGCCGGTGGGCCAGGCGCGGATAGACGCTGCTCTTTCCTCGGTCTCCTTTTGCTTCTGATCGTGGGCCCTGCCGAGGGCTGGAAAGACCCAAGTGAGTGCCGTCTTCACTTGCCCTTTCCTGTCGCCTTTTAGCTTGCTTTGAGTGGTCCCGAGGGCGACGATTTTTGTTCGCCGCCCCTTGAGCGTTTCTGCCCTAATTCCTCTTTTTCAGCCCCTTCGCTGTTCATCTGTGCCCTTCTGGCGCCTCCTCGCTTCCCGGGCGTCAGACGGGAGAGTGGGGACTGTTGGGGAGTTGATGGAGCGGGACAACTCAGTATTCCTAACGTCCCCGTTCACCCCTGGACTCCTAAAATTTGCCCACCTTCACCTTCCTCGGGCTACGGCCCTGATCCTGGGAGTCTGGCTGGAAAGGCCGACACTCACCTGCGCATCTTCCTTTGTTGTCCTGACCGTCTGAGGTCCTCGACTCTGGCTGTTGTCATGGCTGCCTGTTGCTATGGCTGGCGGTTGCTTTGACACCGGCAGCGTCTGAGTCACACTCACGGGACAGGGCCGCAGGCCTGTAGGTAAGGTTAGCAGAATCATGTTTACCGGAACCGAACTCATGCTTCTTCTGATCGTTACAGTGAAGTACATTGGGTTACGCCAGCTTTTCTCATTGGTTTTCACCGTACTCTAGAACTTAAGAAGTATTTTCATCTTATTTTTTTGTGTGTGATGGGACATGATAAATGATTTTTTCGGGAAAAATTTCTTTCATTACTTATATTAGAATTATCTAAAGAATTTTGTATGGGATCAATAATATTACTTGTAATTAATATAGGTACACGTCTGTATAATCACATATATACTGATTTCCTTTTAATAAGTGATGTGTGCTATTAAATTAGAATTAAAAATGATTTTTAAAAAATTTTTATTTATTTATTTTGAGACACACACACACACACACACACACACACACACACACACACACACACACACACACACACACACAGAGAGAAACATCAATGTGCGGTTGCTGGGGGCTGTGGCCTGCAATCCGGGCGGGCATGTGCCCTGACTGGGAATCGAACCTGCGACACTTTGGTTCGCCGCCTGCTGTCAATCCACTGAGCTACGCCAGCCAGGGCTAAAAATGATTTTGAGACATTTAAAATTTTGTTTTTGTCCTGCGGAGTAAAGATGTTAAGGCCTGGTGGAAAGTGTACCAATATTGCATACGTGATTTGGCGATAGGAAATGCCTATGTTTTTGAACTTAAGCAACAGATTTATTTCTGTAATTTCCCAATCTTGAATGCTGAAATGATAGAGAAGGTATATTTGCAAATACTTGATTTGAGTAACCCATTTGATGTGGATGTTTTATTACTGCTAAATAAAATGCAAAGTTAGATTTAAATGTCTGTACATTTTCCTTATGTGTTCCTAGAAAGTTGTATATAAATAGACTTTGATTAGAATTATAATTTAAAAACTGGAATGAAAAATGAATTATTTGAACCCTCAAGGAATTCTTAAATATAAAAAGGAAGTTTACAGATGAAGAGTCAGGGGAATTTAAAAAACAAATTTATTTATTTATTATTTAAATAAGATTCAAGTGTACATGTTTCTGCTACATGATAGAAATGTACACTTTTATTTCTTATTTATATGATATATGATCTGTATATTGCATTATGTGACCACTACCCAAAGTCAAATCATCTTCTGTCACCATATATTTGTTTCCCTTTATGCTCTACTCTTCTCCCACGCCCTTCCCTTTTGGTAACCACTGTGCTGTTGTCTGTCTGTGTCTATGAATTTCAGTTTTATATTCCACATATGAGTGAAATTATGTGGTTCTTAGCTTTTTCTGACTGGCTTATTTCACTTAGCATAATATTCTCAAGGTCCATCCATGTTGTTGCAAATGGCAGAACTTCTTAAGATTTTATTTATTTTTAGAGAGAGGGGGAGGGAGGGAGAAATAGGGAGAGAAACATCAATGTGTGGTTGCCTCTCATGCGCCTCCTGCTGGGGGCCTGGCCTGCAACCCAGGCCCCTTTGGTTCAGTGGCTGGTGCTCAATCCACTGAGCTGCACCAGCCAGGGCAGTATTTCATCTTTTCTTACGGCTGAGTAGTATTCCAGGTAATATGAACCACATCTTCTTTATATATTCCTCTGTTGAAGGACACTTTGATTGTCTCCATGTCTTGGCCACTATAAGTAATGCTGCAGTGAACAGAGGGGTGCTTAAGCCTTTGTGAAACTGTTTGAGTTTTTCGGGTAGATAGTAGAAGAAGGATTGCTGGGTCATATGGTAACTCTAATTTTAGTTTTTTGAGGACGTGCCATGCTGTTTTCCATAGTGTCTGTACCAGTTTACATTCCCACCAGCAGTGAATGAGGTTTTCTTTTTCTGCACAGTCTCTCCAGCACTTATCATTACTTGTCTTGTTGATAATGGCGCTTCTAACAGCTCTGAGGTGGTAGAGGTGGCATTGCAATGTAGCTTTGATTTGCATTTCCCCAATAGCTAGTGAAGTTCAACATCTTTCCGTAGATCTGATGGCCGTTTGTATGGCTTTGTGGGAGAGGTGTCTGTTCAGGTCCTCAGCCCATTTTTTAATTGGATTGTTTGGTGTTGAGTTGTCAGCTTTTGAATTTTTAAAGACATTTCTTCATTTTCTTTTTCTAGCCTATTGAGATGTTGGAAACTTTCCTAATTCTTTGTCTTTTGTATGTGACCTGTTTTTCCCTTTTTCTTCTGGCAGTTATTGTCTACAGTGCTCTAAGATTTCCCAGTGAGGGGCCATTGTGTGGTTCTGATGTGAGGCCTGTTTTCTTTTCTTGCGCTATGATAGCTCTCATCCTTCGGCTGTGGGAGCTTTTCTTGAAGTGTATCCCTGAAGTTTGTTCCATCTAATTTTTCCACCCTTTCTTTCTGGATCCCCTGTTGGCTTTTTGGAGTTCCTGAACCGGTCCTGTAATCCACCTCCCTCCCGCTTTGTATCTTTTTGCTCTGTCTTCTAGGAGATTTTCTTACCCTGAACTTCTAATAGTTCTGTTGAGTTTTTCATCTCAAGCTGCCGTGATTTTAATTTCCCGGAGCTCTTGTTTTGTTCTCTGTGAGTGTTTCCTTTAAAAATGATTGTTTTATATCTTTGAGGATATCATAGATGTAAAAATATATAAAAAAAGTTTTCTTCTCCCTGTATAGTCTCTCTTGTCTCCAGCTTGTCTTTGTGGTTTGTTTTGGCCTGGTTATAGTATTCCATGTTAGGGGCTTTCCTCATGTTTTCAGTAGTTCTTGGCTCTGCTCAAAATTAAGAGTGTGAACCCAAAAGCTGGTTGGAAGCTATCATTATGTGGTTGGTGCTTTTGGACTTTGAATTTTACTGTGGGATGATCTGGTGACTGTAGGGTTACTTGGGTGGTTCTTTTTTGGGGAAGCTTCTGATGTTGGTCTATTTAAGTATTTTTTTTTTTTTGAAGAATTTACTTACTTTTAGAGAGAGGGGAAGGGAGGGAGAAAGAGAGGGAGAGAAACATAGATGTGAGAGAGAAACATCCACTGGTTGCCTCTCGCATGTGCTGTGACCGCACCCAGAGCAGGACCTAACCTGCAATCCAGGGTCGTGCCCTGACCAGCGACCTTTTGCTCTGCCGGAAGGACACCCAACCTATTGCATCATACTGGTCAGGGCAAAAACTTTCATTAATCCATTCATGTGTTGACAGACATTTAAGTCATTAAATGTGCTTCAGGAACATCGACGTATATTTTTTGCCACTTTAATTAACCACTAATGTTGTTGTGCAGTAGTACATTTCAGGTTAATGAACTTTTTGGTCCTATTTTGCAAAATTTATGTAGAACTTGTGATATAGAAGCAGTGCAGGGGGTGGGGGAGCATCCAGCCTGAAACGAAAGGAGGCCTTAACAGTGTGACCACTTGAAGTTTGTGCGAGAGATTAAATGTAGTTGGTACAGCTTTGAGGGGCTGTTTCATCTTCACTTAGTCATCCTCAAAAGGCAAGAATGACCGTCTATAGAATGACAAGAGTTTTATTTATCTATGTTTGCCAAGATATTCACTCTCTGCTCTGTTCTTCCTGTTTCAGACAGAATATTGTTGCAGGACGTGAAAGCTCTTACCCTCCACCATGACCGCTACACCACCTCCCGTAGGCTGGATCCCATCCCACAGCTGAGATGTGTTGGGGGCACGGCTGGGTGTGATTCTTACACGCCGAAAGTCGTCCAGTGCCAGAACAAAGGCTGGGATGGTTACGATGTGCAGGTAACATTCATTACATTGATGGCAGTCTAAATGGAGTTTTTATTCAATAAAGTGTTTATTGGGCCATTATCAGTAATTTTGGGAAGCACATATAGAAAATCTCAGGTTAACCTAAACTATGTAAATATAAATAAGTCGTTTATTCTTCAGAAGAAACATCCTCTAAAGAAAATGAACTGATTTTAGCGCCTGGAAGTATTCATTGTAATTTTCATTCCATAACTTCTTTCTAAGACATTAATAACTTTTTAAAACTCTTCATATACTCTGGGGGAATACAGGAGTTCTGCTGGTTGTCATTTTTTTGTCATTCCCTCAAAGAATACCAACCTACCCTTAAGAAATAGAGTTAAGATGGTAAGCAGTTATAGGCTGTAAACAGTGGGAGTACACATGTCCCTTTTGTGCTTCAAACACTTGATTTTAAAATTGTTTTAGAGCAGAGGGCGGCTGCTTCTGAACAGAAACATTTCAGTGGGCTTTATTTGTTTTCTCTTTGGGACTCTGGCATTTTGTACTTAGGGTGGACCATTTTCTTGAAGATCCAAAATTTGTTATTTAGAAATGGAATAGATTTTATTAAATGAATTCAGTTAAAATTAATACTAATATATTTCTACTTTGTACTCTGCCTGCTTTCAAAAAGGATTTAAGACAACTGGTTATTTGCAAGAAACCTCTGTAGATGGTTTCCCCTTCCGTCAGCATGGTCACCTGTGTGCACAGTATGTGCAGTTCAGAGAGAGGGTTCATGTTTACTGCATGATGATTATTTCACACCATTTTCCCCCCGTGTTGCTAACCGAATCACAGAATCTCCAGGTTAAAGCAGAATCCCACTCATTTTACTTTTATAGTCTTTTAAAAAAATATTTAATTCATTTATTTTTAAATAGGAAGTGAGAGGGAGAAAGAGAGAAACATCAATGTGTGGTTGCCTTTTGTGCACCCCTCAACTTGGGACCTGGCCTGCAACCGAGACATGTGCTATGACTGGGAATCGAACCAGTGACCTTTCTGTTTGCAGGCTGAGGCTCAATCCACTGAGCCACACCAGCCAGGGCAACCTTTACAGTCTTGATGGAAAAAAAAAAGATACTAATTGTAAAGTCACTCATTAAACACATGAAATTGCACACAAAAATGGATTACTAAAGAAACTCTAGTAGAACAGCTAAGATATGCATTCAAATTACACATAGGTGCCAACAAAGTGTTATCAAGTCATGCCATTTATAACACTGGAGGGACTGGGGAAGACTTAGGGAAGGTATGTGCTGCGTTAGGAAGGAAGGGGAAGATTTTTAGAGCGGAACAGACAGAGAAGGGACTACATTAGCAGAGATGTGTGGGGGATATCGTACACTGACTTACGTTTAGTAGCAGAAGGGAGCCTGTTCTGATTCCAAACATTTGATTTGGCCACTTTCAGTATGCACTATTAAGGAAATGAAAATTAACATGAAATACCAATAGAGATTTAGCTTTCTTTATTTACCTAAATCAGCTAGCTTATAAATCTTCCTCCAAATAAAATTATTTAAAAAATAAGATGATATAGCAACAGCAATAAGGGCATCAAAATAGAAAAATTGCATTATCCAAATGTAAAACTTTTGAGCTTCAAAGGACACCATCAAAAAAGTGAAAAGACAGCTACATAGTGGGTGAAAGCTTTTCAAATCATGCATCTGATAGGAGACTTATGTCTAGAGTATAGAAAGAATTACTACAACTCACTAAGAAGACAGCCAAATTTGAAAGTGGGCAAAACGTCTGACTAGACATTTCTTCAAAGAAGGTAGGCAGATGACCAGCAAATGTGTGAAAACATGTTCAGCATCATTTGCCACCAGGGATAAACAAGTCAAAACCACAATAAGGTACCAGTTAACACCCAATAGGAAGCTATAATCCAAAAGACACAATAACAAATGTTGGTGAGGATGTGCAGAAACTCTCCTTACATTGCTGTTGGGAAGTAAAATGGCGCAGCCACTTTGGATAACTGTCTGGCAGTTCTTCCAAAGGTTAAACACAGAGTTACCCCAACCATTACAGTCCTAGGAATATGCCCAAGAGAATTGAAAACATGTCCACACAAAAATTTATACATAAATGTTTTTAGCAGCATCATTGATAATAGCCAGAAAGTAGAAACAACTGAAATGTCTATCACGATGAATGAATAAACAAAATAGGCACATCCAAGGAATGAAGTACTGACATACTGCAACGTGGTGTTAACCTTGACAGTGTTATGCCAAGTGAAAGAAGCCAGTCATTGAGGAGCACAGGAAATGTCCAGAGTAGGGAAATCCACACAGACTGACTGGTGGCTGCTTAGGGCTGGGGGATTGGAGGGAAATGGGGAGTGACTGCTGGTGGATGTGAGAGTTCTTTTGGGGGCAATAAAAATATCCTCAAATTGATTGTGGTGATAGTTTTAGTATATTCAACTCTGTGAATGTACTAAAAACCATTGAAATGGATGAATGTATCCTATGTGAATTATGTCTCCATAAAGCTGTTATAAAAATGAAAATGGCATATCTGAACTTTGAGAGAAGAAAATTTGTTTTCCTCTTACAGAAAAACTTACAGAAAGGCAATAGAACCAATCAAATCTGTTTTAGCTTGTGTCTCTTTAAATGTTGTTTAAGAGTCATGTAATCTATTCAGCTCAAAATGTAGTTATAGAATTTAAATTAAGCCTGGGCTTCTTTTTTCAAGTTGGAAATTTTAGAGACTAGTGTGGATTCTTTTGGCATTTTTTGAAATATCTTAAAAAACCTGAAGAGAATTACTTAGAGTATTGGACCCTGGAAAGTTAGGCCATGGTTTTAAAAAATGTGTGTAGAAAACTTTTTTCTCAGAAGGTTATATACTGTCTCTGATACTATATGTAGCTACCAACCAGATCTTCACATATGATGGTTTTTGAGCCTTACCATTAAAAATACCCCTGTTTTAAAAGAAAGCATCTTGAACAACAGTGGTAAAAAGTTGACATGTAGAAAATTTGCTGAAATGTGTGAATTATGGATACTTAATATGTACAAAGTAATTCCCCCATCTGTATGTAAAGAGTAAGGAACGGCGATGAAATGAGCCATCGTGTACCCACCACCTCGCTTAGGAAGTAGAGCATTGCCATCATCAGTGTCTTAGAGGCTGCTAGCTGCCTTCCTTCACTATCCTGAATTTAACTTATCATTCCCTTGCCTCGTTTTGTAGTTTTATGACAGCTAGATAGCCCAAGTGATATATACGAAGTGAAAACAAGTCTTTTGGTTCTAATAACCTTCTCCGACTCTTCTTCACAGTGGGAATGTAAGACCGATTTAGATATGGCGTACAAATTTGGAAAGACGGTGGTGAGCTGTGAGGGCTATGAGTCCTCTGAAGACCAGTATGTGCTAAGAGGTTCCTGTGGCTTGGAGTACAGCTTGGATTACACGGAACACGGCCTGAAGAAATTGAGAGAGTCCGGAACAAACCATGGCCCTAACGCTTTCTCTGATTATTACAAAAAGCTGTCCACTCCAGGCTCCGGGGGCATCAGTGGATTGATTACCATCGCGGTGTTACTTGCTGTCGCCTTTGGAGTTTATAAGTTGTTCCTTAGTGATGGTCAAGATGCTCCTCCACCGTATTCTGAGTATCCTCCAAATTCACACCACTATCAGGGATTCACCAGCGCAGCAGGACCCCCTCCCCCGGGCTTCAAGGCAGGGTTCACAGGTATGCTGTGCCTAGGCGGTGGCGGTGAGGGGTGCAGGTGTGAGGTATGGATCCTGTGCAGTTTCTGATGTAGTAGAACGTGGTTGCATGGGGAAGCCAGGGCAGATGTGTCTTCTCGTTTTATTTTTCACTTTTTACTTCTTTTGCCTCTTCTGATCTTTTCTCTAGACTAATATTTATGATTACTATTTTAAGAATGCATGATTCAATTGTAAATCATCTCAGTCAGAAACACTTGATCGGATTTGGTAATAAGTGTTTACCTTAAACTCTGTCTCACACCGTACACAAACATTTATTCAAGTACTATAGACCACGACATAAAAGATAAAAAATGAAGCTTCTAGATAAAAATGTAGGAAAATATTTGTCATGACCTTGGGATAGGCAAAAATTTCTTAGAATACAAAAATTACCAGCCATGAAATAAAAGATGGATAAATTAGACTTTATTTACATTAAGAAAGTCTAGTAATTGAAAGAAAACATTCAGAGTGAAAAGGCAAGCTATGCACTTGGAGAACATATTTGTAAGACCGCTATCCAACAAAGGACCTGTACCTAGAGTGTATAAAGAACTCACACAGACCTAAGAAAAGACAGACAATCCAATCTTAAAAACGGACAGAGGCCTTGAATAGCCATTTTATAATGAAAGATGATATCCAGATTTCCAATAAAAATATGAAAAGATGCTTAGCATTATTAGTTTTCTGGAAAATGCAGATTAAAACCATAGGGAAGTCATATTAACCACTATAATGGTTAGCATTATGAAGACAGAGTATTGAGTAGTTGACTGGAACTTGCTGGTAGGAGTTAGAATGGTAAAACACTTTGGAAAACTGTATCTCCTAAACACATGCCTACACCGTGATTCAGTAATTCCATTCCTGGATACATACCTAAGAAAAAGTCATGCATGTGTACACAAAAAATCATGCATAAGAGTGTTTATAGCAGTTTTATGCCCAATAGCCAAAAACTGGAGATAGAATATTCATTAGCATTAGAATAAGACAAATTGTGCTTTCTTTTAACCCCATGGAATACCACACATCAGTTTTAAAAGCCCAAAACCTGACAGGTACAATAGCAGGATTGACTCTCATGGTTAAGATGTACGAGAAACAGAAGAATACCTACCATATGACTCTATTTGTAAAGAGTTCAAGTATGGACAAAACTATAAAGTATGGTGAGAGGAGTCAGAAACACTTATCTCTGCTGTGGGTGGTTATCTGTTGGGAATTGTTAATCCTTTCTAGCCTTCTGGGTGCTAGAAATGTTCAGTTGGTGTGGGTAGTAGTGTACATGCATGGGTGCATGTGCACAAACTATTAGGCTTCCCTGTTTGATGAGCACACTTTCCTTTATGCATATTATTCATCAGTTTAAAAAAACTTCCTCTGAGCAGAAGACACTTTTTTGGTCCCCTTAAGACCTGTCTTCCCACCAGATACAAGTATCTGGCTGCCTCCACTTGGATTTCTCCATTATATAGCTGTCACTTGGAGTGTTTAGAGATTTTACGATGCAGGAAGGAAGTAATTTGACAAGTGGGAGTCATCTTCTAGTAGCTCATCTTAAGCAGGGCAGATATGATCCTATAGGAAGTCCCCTTCATCCCAAAATATATCCTTAGTTATAAACTCATATTTTACAAATACACTTTTTGTATTTGTAATACTTTTTGAATACAGTTTGTTTATAAGTTGAAACCTGAGTGCTGTTAAAAAATAGTACAGATGAAATAATTGAAATTTTCCTATTATCTTTGGTTCTGTAGGCTGTGATTTGTTTAAATGAGTATACATAATAAATCATTTTTATTTCTAGGACCCTATGGTGCAACTTCTGGTTTTGGCAGTGCTTTCACAGGACAACAAGGACATGACAATTCAGGACCAGGGTTCTGGACCGGCTTGGGGACAGGAGGACTCTTAGGATATTTGTTTGGCAGCAATAGGTAGGCTTTGCATTTATCTCACTTGGTCTTTTCTTTAGAGAGTTCTTTGTTGTGCTTACAATTTGACTAGATTTGGTTTTGTTAAGGAAAATAAATTAGGGTGACATTGCCCTTTTAAATCAGATTCTTTGGGGATGGGGAAAGAATATGTGCTTTTATCAATATTGTATGTGTTATTTTCTTTCATTGTGTTTTTTCTTCTTGTGTCATCCTTATAGATAATATAAGATAGGAAAAAGACTTTCCTTTGACATTTGAGAAAACTATTAGGAGTAAATAACACAACATTTGGGGAACAGCAGTTTGGTTTGGTAGGCAAATGACAGAAGCAAGGTTGGACCAAACTTGGAGACAGATTTTGAGATGTCTTCAATATTATTGGTAGTTTAAGTTTAGATTTGACTCGAGTGCAAATTCAGAAAGAAAGAGCCATTTCTCCATTTCACTTTCTTCTCCTATGTCAGTGACTGTAACAATATCAGAAATACAGAACAGTATTTGTTTCATATTAATCCTAATGTACCAGAACATCGAAGAAGAATTACTTGATAAGGACTTTTTTTCTGATAACTTAGGGATTGGAAGGTATTTAAAAATGAAAGGCCCAGGGAGAATGCCTGACACACTTTTCTGTCTTTATAGAGCAGCGAGGCCCTTTTCAGACTCCTGGTACCACTCATCTCATCATCCCTCGTACTCCAGCACATGGGGTAGCCATGCTTACTCACCGTTTCGTGGAGGCTCAGGTAGCTCTTCAGCATGCTCAAGTTCAGAGACAAAAACCAGAACAGCATCAGGTAAGAGCAAAAATGTAGAAGTTCCTACCACATGGCAGTATAGTACAGAAATAGTTTTGGAACTTAAGAAGATGATTAACTGTATATTTAGCAATCGTGGTTTTATTTAGTATATCCTCCAGAAATATTAACAGCATGATTAACCGAGAGTAAAATATAATTCAGATTCATTCTTTCCTGTCGCTTCTAAGCATTCTTTGAAAATCAAACAAGGATTTGGTTTAGACTGTTACCACTAACCAAGGTTTTATCTAAAACCTTCCTGGATATTGGTTTCCATATCTGTTTAATTCTGTAATCTGGGGGTCCTTTAAGCTCTAAAATGGAATTTTCTAGGTAGAAGTTTGAACTTTTTAAATTCAGCAAAAGTCAATAAAAATGTATTGAGCCATACTTTAAATAATTGTCAAAAATTTGATTGTAACGGTTATTGCAGTTTTTAAGAGGACATTTTGCAAAAAGCAAAGATACTAAAAAACAAAAACTACTTGGACTTAAACACCCAGCTAATGAGCAGAGAGTGGGAGATGGTGCGTAACGAGGCACTAATGGGGTGCTGTGGATTGAGTTTGTTTTCTTCAGCAGGGGAAGTTACAGAACAAATTTAAGTCTTGAAATTGGTAGACTGTATTTAAATATGTTTTGAAATGTAAGAGCGAAATTCTCATAGTGCTGCGGTGAATATAAATTAACGCAGTCATTTTGAAAAACTGTTGGGCATTGCCCGATTGAACATGAGCATACCCAAGGCTCAGCAGTTCCACTCTCACATCTTTAGCAACAGAAGTGCATGTGCTTGGACACCGAACAGTAAGCACAGGAATGTTCACAGCATCCCGTTCATCATAGTCTCCACCGGGACTCTCAGTAAAATGGATGAATAAACTGAGTTATGTTTATAACATGGAATACTGTGCAAAAGTGAGAATGAATAAACAGTTGTATCCAATAATGTGGATAGTTCTGCCAAATAAAAAGAAAAAAACTAGACACAAAAGAACATATACAATAATGATTACAACATTCATGTTTAAAAACAAGCAAATCTAACCTATGGTGTTAGATCATATGATAGTGGTTACTTTGGGGAGAAAAGGAGAGGTAGTAATTAGGAGGATATACAAGCATAAAAATATAACTACACAGGACATAGGACAAAAGAGAACACCAGAAAACATTACCAAATAACCTAAGGGAAAAGTGGAAAGAAACCGAGACACTTTTCAGGTGGGAACACTGTCATTCTGTCACCTGTCGGCACCTGTGCGCGTGGGTGCACTGGGGAGTCGGAAACTCTCCCCCACGCTTTTGCACTTACTGCCGGAGTTGTGAGATGGAGCAGGACACGGCTGGGGCCCCATTTGCCTCCCTGCTTTGGGCTTAGACTTTGAGTGCTGCTGGTGCCACGTTGGCGCCACCAGAGAGCATGTCTCCTTTGGTTTACGGGACTAAAGGTTCCTCTCCGCAAGCAGGTTTAGTGGGCCTGATGATTGCCTGGTGGGGGGCGCCGTTCTGGGGAGGCGCGGCGCCGTGTCCTGCGTGGCCCTCTCCCACCAGCTCCTCGTTCTCCTTCCTCCTTCTTTCTCATTCGTTTGTTAACAACAATAATATGCATTATTGTTGTAATTTTATAAGCAATTCCAGGGCATTTCAAAAATTAATATAAATTTTACTTTTCTCATTTAGGATATGGTGGTACCAGAAGACGATAAGAGAGTAAAAAGTTGAAGTGAAACACTGGATGCAGCATTTCTGACATTTCATCGCTTTGTCTTAAAAAGAAAAGTGCTACCAGCTAACAACTGGGGAAAAGGAATATTAAAAAATTCGGTGGTGTTTTCTCTCGTATAGCTTTTTGTGTTTTATCATTTAATGAGATTAAGAATTGATACTATGATAAGATACTTATGTAGAAAATTGTTAGTGTAACATGCAGATGTTTATTACAGCTTTTGAAAGTGATTACTGCAGAATACTGAAAATGAATTGTTTAATTTCTAATACCGGTGATGCCATGAAAAGCATTAAGAATGAAGGCTTCAAAGACACTGAGTAAAGAAACTTTGAATCTGGTTTTTGTTCATGAATTATAACTTCATAGAAACAATATATTTGGTGTTCAGTATTTGGTGCTTGCTGTTCTTCAAACATTTAAACCAAGCTTTGGACTACTAATTATACTAACTTGGTGAGTTCTGATCACTTTGAGCTCAGGAGCTTTGAATCCTTCAGTGGTGGGTGGGGTTCTGGTGACAATTATCTAGAAAGTATCTAGAAGGTTGTTGTGAATGATTGTGTGCTGACAAAAATTCTTGAAATCTTCCTTATTCATTTCTTACGAGGTAAAGTTCAAATGCTTCTCCAATGGTCTTTAATAGCAAACACATGCAGTTCTCTGTGGAATCTGAAATACTGTTGTAGCAGTCTGTGTCAATTATATTAAAATTACAGAAAAAATAAACACGAGGTTTTATTCTTACTCTTTTTACCTGCTTTGGATGTGAATTGATGTTACTTTTTTAAAACCATTTTTCCCCGAGGCGAAGGTGTTTGTGCAGAAGTTTTGTCTCCCTAAACAATAATTTCCCATGGTAGTATTGCCTTAGTTACCAACCATTTGGTAAATGTTTTGTTTTCTTTTTTTTTAAGATTTTATTTATTCATTTTTAGACAGAGGGGAAGAGAAGGAGAAAGAGGGAGAGAAATATCAGTGTATGGTTGCCTCTCGAGTGCCCATTACTAGGGACCTGGCCTGCAACCCAGGCATGTGCCCTGACTGGGATTTGAATTGGTGACCCTTTGGTTCACAGCCTGTGCTCAATCCACTGAGCTACACCAGTCAGGGCTTGGTAAATGTTTTTAAAAAGTAATTTAGAAATGGTGTGGAAGGAAAGGCTGTATTTCTAGAGTGGCAGGATCCGTGGACTGTATTTCTAGAGTGGCAGGATCCGTGCTTAAACGTAGCGCCCAGACTGAATTTTAGCCTCTGCTAAAATTGCTTTTCAAAAAAATTAAATATTCAAGCTTCCAAGATTGCACAATCTGCCTTAGTTGAGCTTTTTACCATTTAGGAAACATTTAGACTTGATCTCACTTATAAAAGGGATCTAATGAACAAAATAAACTAATGAGCAAACTAGAACCAGAGGCGTGGAATCACGGAACAGACTACAGCTGTAAGAGGAGACGGGGGAGGTGGGGACTGATTGAAAGAAGTCTAGCCGTGCTGCTCCCTTTGGCCATTCCTCTGGGTGCTACAGAATGTGGTCGCTCTACCTAGCAGTAATCTCTGTTAGCGCTTTGGTTATTCCAGAAATAATACATCATACCCAGATATTTTCCCCATAAAGAATAGATGCACTTTATTCTTTTAACAGCGGCATAGTATTCATCATATGGATATAGCATAATTTAAGCTGCCCATTATTGATAAATGCCATGCTTTCAAAATTTTTCCTATTTTCAACAAAGCCAACAACGAACATCCAAAGATGCCTTCGGTACTTGTGTTTGTGTCACTCTACAGAGACAGGATGGACCCCCACCCGAACAAGGGAGTCACTTTTGTAGCTGAGACCTTTAATACATGTATTTAGATTCGTGGGCTGTATTTCTAGAGGGGCAGGATCCGTGCTTAAACGTAGCGCCCAGACTGAACTTGGGATGTGGGTGTTAGAGGAGCTTACGTTTAACAACACGGCCTCCCGTCTTTCTGCATGGGTGGACAGAGTCACTCTGAAGCAGAGTTTTGTGCAGGGAAGACCCTCTGTGGCTCTTCTAAGTGAGTTAGTCCACAGTGAGGAGCCATCCACTGCCCGTGGGGAATTGTATAACAGGACTTTAAAAAGTGGCTCCATGAAGGCGGATTCTTTTAATACCTTTGAATATGTAGAGATCAAAGGTTGCTTAAGAAGAAGTAATTCATTCCTTGGAGACCAAGGTGGCTATTGGAAGATAATGTATAAATATCTTTCACCCCTTAAGAGTACCTCATGAATAGTATGTTCTGGATGGTTAGAAGTAGCTTTCATTGAGGGAGGGCAGTGTGAGTGTAGACTGCAGAATCTCGCTTGTTACTGGACGGCTTTAGGGGAAACCTGGTTTTGAGCTAATTTGTGGCTGTCTGGATCTGGAATTGCCCCAGATCTTACAACAGGGAACAATGGGTGTCCTTTGAAAAGACTGCTGAACATTTAGGTCTCACCCCAGAGAGCTGTAGTCTGATAGGGCTCCACTGTGGTCTGTACCTGGATAGTGATCGAAAGGAACAGTAAAAAGAATATATCAAGACCAATTTTCAGAATGTGGTAACAAACATGGTAGCTGCAAGTTTGGTCTGCAGGTGGATGGATCAGATCTTCAGATTGCTGTCCACAAGGCATTTAAGGAATATGTTCAGGCATTCTGGACAACGTCCTTGGAGTTCTTGAGTAAGTCGGGGTAAGAAGAGAGGTCCTTTGAGAGGTAGAATGCCTCCAGCTAATCTAAAGTATTGGGGTTCTGGCCCAGTTTAGAAGAAGCAGATGCAACCGTATTTGTTCCTCAAGCTGATCAAGTAAACATACTGGTTATGCCAATACAAAGTTCAGTGGACATATTACTTCATGTGGGTGAACTTTTTATTATTACTACAGTCATTTTGGTAGCTATATCTCTCTACTACTTCATACTAAGCTTCGGAAGATGATTAAAAAAAAAGGCACTGTTTATAGCCAGGAAGTTTGCCACCATCCTGCATTTGTACAATAGACTAAAATGACAACAACAAAAATCCCAAAAATCTAAATTCAGGGATTCCCAGATATACTCACTAAACATCATTTTTCTTTTATGAATCACAAGAAAATGTTTGAGATGTTGACATCACTACAAATACTACTAAGTCTTACACCTGTAATAGTCATGGTGTGTTAACCAATGGGTTTCAGGATTCTTGCTTTCTGGGAAATTATGGATAACTTTGAAGAGCAGTAATGGATTTTATTTTCCCTGACATAGAACTTCTAATGATATCTCCTGATCAAAAATTTTATAAAATATCCTGTCACAGAACAAAGAGACCCCAAATTTCAAAATACACATTTCACTGCAACATTGGTTGCCACTTTCTAGCTTTTTCTAAATTCATTTTCTTTTTCATCACTAGAGGGCGATATTGCTTCAGAAGTCAAAGTTAGTGGGCCACAAAAGCTCTTTTTTACTTTCAATACTTAATGGGTTGTGTATGCTGTTGTAGGCCTACTAGATGGGTTATTTTCTTCCAGACTGTTGCCAGAATATAAGGTTTGCTCATATTAGAGCCATTACTCACACAAGATGTTGCTGACACACTGTTAGAACCAGTGTGGTCTGCTGTCACTGTTCTCACGTTTTCTGTCATGTAGGACTTAATTCTTTTCTGTACATAAAGGCATATCCAGATTCTGATGACTTTTCATTTTTTCCACTGTTGCCATTCAGGTTCAAGCCACTACACCATCGTCACCATCGTCAGTCACCTTAATGGGGTCTACTCTGACTACTTGCATTAGTTAGGGTAGGCCAGGTTATTCTGCATAACAAACAGTCCCCTAGATCTCACTAGCTTAATCACTGCATAGCTCACACCCGATGTCTTACATTGGCATGGGCTTTGGCTCATCACAGTTCGTCAGGGATTCTGGCCGATCAAAGCTTCCTTTTGGCGATTTTGCTGTTGCTGCAGCAGAGGGAAGGGCATGTGGGCAATCATGCACTGTTCTTTTTTTAAGATCATCTTTCATTTTAAAAAACATTTTATTTATTTTTAGAGGGAAAGGGAGGGAGAAACAGAGGGAGAGAAACATCAATGTGTGGTTGCCTCTCATGTACCTCCTACCAGGGACCTGGGCCCACAGTCCAAGCACGTGCCCTGATTAGGAATTGAACGGGTGACCCCTTGCTTCACAGGCTGGCACTCGATCCACTGAGCCACACCAGCCAGGGCTCATGCACTGTTCTTAAACCTTCTGAAATGACACATCGCTTCTGCTCTTCATTGGCCAAAGCAAGTCAGATGGTTACTCCTAAGCAAGTCAGATAGCAGGGAAGTACAATCCTAGCATGGGCCTGGAAGTGGGAATCTAAAATACTTGATGATCAACAGTAATGAAACTGAACTACTTAAAACACCCAACTCCCCATCTCTGCCTTAGGACTTTGCACCTTTCTTGCTCTGCTGCATTTCCCCACCCCCCATAGCACTTATTATCTTCTAATTTATATAATTTATTATTGTTTTTCTACCTCCCTAGAACATAAACCCCACGAGGGCAGGGGTTTTGTCTGTACTGTGCTGTGCCCGCACCACTCAGAGCAGTGTCCGTCTTACAGTGGGCATCCAATAAGCACACAGTGAGTGAGTCAATGAGCCATGAGTCATGTACGAGTTTGTTCTCACACCATAGTCCACCAAACACACTTTGGCTAACTAGAGAGGAATGATGATACACATTAGAGAAATTACTTTCTATGGTTCTTTAAAACCGTTATACTTTGGAAAGTCTTTGCAAGTAGGACATCTTCCTGGGAGGATGAATTCTTTTGAAACCGGGCGCTCCTAAAGCATTATAACAATACACGGATAGATAATAGTGTCTGTTATCTTTACAGTCGGGTTCACACACACAGTGGTAAACAAATAATCACTTATTTTCAGCATGTGCCATAATGGTCCCTGCAGAGGCAGATGGGCCCCCACCCAACGTGAGGCTTGGATGTCAAGGCTGATGACACCTCACATGCACGAGAGGGTATAAAAAAGGTTTGTTACTTAGGTCATTGAGGTCTCTCAGGAGACTGGGGAAGATCTCTGAGTCAGGTTGGCAGTGGGTTGCAACTGTGATTAGGGCCTGGGCCTGAGTGGGAGCTCCCGCCAGAGCCAGAGGAGGGAGCATGCAGACTGTCCCACCACTTGTCCAGGTGTGGGGCAGAGGGGAAGATGGAGGGGTGAGGCTTAAAAGCTGTTCCTCCTCGTCGGTGGCCTTAGAACTGAAATCAGCTCTCCCTTGGGACTGGAAGTATACCATTGAATCTCCTGGGTTTGCAGCCAATTCACTCTGCAGATCTTGGGACTGGCCAGCCTCCATTCCAATACTACCTTCCAGAAATAAGGCGAAACTTGAAAAAGCAATTGTTTTTTAAAATTATTTTTAGAGAGAGGGAAAGGGAGGGAGAAAGATCAGATACACTGATCTGTTGTATCTCATGTGCCCCGACCTGGTACGAACCCAGAACCCAGGTCTGTGCCCTGACTGGGAATCAAACTGGTGGTGACCTTTCGCTTTGGGAGATGACACACAGCCAACAGAGCCCCAGCATTCAGGGCAAGAAACTATTTTATCTCCTTGCTTTCTTTTGCTGCTTCACCCTGTAAGCTTGGGCATAGGAGGAAAGAGTCATTGAGGAGTGGAGTGGTTTGATGGTTACCTTGATTTCAAAGAATCCATGTAAACTTTTTTT